AGAACTAAAACAAGAAATTCAAAATATACTTAAAGATGTTGACTGTACCTTAGCCGGCTCTCCAGCGATTTTATCTGTTCCTATTCTGCAACCTTGTTTACGTGCTGAACTTCTTCTCATAACTGTTGATACACATACAGGCATGTTACAATGTCATGTACCTCAGTATGACGTTCCACTTGTTCCAGAGTTGACAGCTGCTTTCAACGGTGATCATTCGCGTTTACCAACATTAATTTCCGAATTAAGATTTTGGATCACTCAACGACGATGTGAGAAAACTTTACAACATTTACCTTCTACATCCCACGAGACATTGCCAGTTATATTTTCACCTGATCATCCTATGGCTAAAATTAGTAAACACCACATGTTTGTCCGACTTCATCGACATCCAACAGTAATATTGATAATCGAATTTAAAGAGAAAAAATCCTTTTCATGTGAAATTGAATTTTTATTTTACTTAGCTGTAGTGAAATCTAGTTTAATGGAAGATGATCCTCATGATGAAAATATTGAAACCGAAGTACCGAAAATGTATTTGAGAGTTCAGAGTCTAATAGAATTCGATACATTTGTTATTACTCATGGACCATTTACGAGTGTCGACAGTGACATACCTGAAAAAGGAATAAAACGACGAAGTTCAGGATCTTCTGGTCGTACTGAAGTATCATGTTCATCACAAAATAGAAGACCAAAACATCCCGCTTATTTTATTCCAGAATTGGCTCATGTCGTTGCTCTTTGTGATGAAAGAATTCCATTTGTTACTTTGGCTCAAGAACTTACAAAACGAGACATTGCCCATCAAGGACTTCAAGTAGATGCTAATGCTACGGCTTTAGTACTGAAATTAGTACAATTACCAGCTCCATCATTAAATTTAAATGCTACCAGCGCTTGGCAATCATTATTGAAACGATTACTTAGTGTTTCAATTCGAGTTCAAGGCAAAGGAATGGCTAAAACATGGCTAGCCGAATTTGTATTTTACAGTAGTCCTTTAACAACTAGTCATCCGAAAGAACAAGGACTAAGAAGACCAGTGTATTTTCAATATGATATGGGAACAGCTGAAACAGTATCGAAAACTGTAGATTGTTTATTGAATGATTGGGCACAAATTGTTTATCTGTATTCAATTGTCCAAGATTTTACAGAATATCTCAAGATTGAAAAGTATAACTTAAGAAATATGGTTAGCATAAAATCTTACAGCTATAGTAAATTAATTATAGCTTATGGTCCTAATCGAGGTGCTACAGTAACCATTTATTGGAGTACAAATGATAAAGCTTTCAAACTTATTTTCGGAAAAAGTCCAATGAATACATCAATAAATGCACACTCATTGATGAAAGAACAACTTGAAGCTCATCTCAATCGTCATAAAAGCTTAGCACAAATTATACAGATATTAAATGAAACTTTACAACCTCTTATATCTATTAGTAAGTTACCTATCATACCTCAACTAGGTGTACATAATTCTAGGCCTCAAGTTCCAATTCAGACTTTTACAATTATGCCTCAATGTGTAACATTGGTAAGAATAGCTTATCAAGGAATGTATTGTTTAGAACTTAAATTACGAGGTGGTGGACTAGTTAGTATACGAGATGGTGCATACAGTCGATTTGACAGGAGTAACGTTGTAGATGAATTTACACCTACTCAAGGTTTAAAAACATTTTTGTCAAAATATGTAGATGAAAGCGCTGTATTTAGACGCCGTTCACAATCTGAAGATGATAATCCACCATCCCCAGTTTCTATGGATACAGATGGAACTGGTGGAGTTGGTTTTATGAGTCACCACAGAAGTGGTCCTCAATCTCCTGCTCAGCAACGTGATGGTTTAAGATTTCATCCACCTTTGACACCTCCATCTGGTAGTAATCCTCATACTCCGGCTAGTCCTCATACAGTTAATATTTCACAAGCGAATCAGCATCAAAGTTTTGGTAGCAGTCCGGCTACGTCTTTTAATTTGGCATCACCACCTTCATTACCACCAAACACCCCTAATATGTTACCTCATCCATCACCTGGCTCAGGACTTGTTGCCAATAGTCCTTTAAATCCAATGCATGTACCAAGCCCGGCTGGATTAATGCCAACATCATCGCCTGGACCTTGTAGTAATGTTCAAGTGGGTCATTCGCCAGCAAGCTCTTTTATGCAAGCTGGTCACATTGATGGTAGTCCTTTTCCATCCTCTCAAAGTATGGCTTCTCCTGCTGCATCAAATTGGCCTGGATCTCCAAGTGTACCGAGACCATCACCTGCACGACCTGGACAAAGTCCAGGCCATGTAGCTTTACACAGTCCTCAAGCATCAGATCACAAAGCTGGGACTCATATATCTCGAGTTTTGCCTCAAAGATCTTGGGCTGGAGCAGTTCCAACACTCTTGACTCATGAATCTTTGGATTTACTTTGTACTCCTTCACTTAATCCTGCAGGTCTACCTGGACCCGATCTATCACCTTTGGAAAGATTTTTAGGATGCGTCTATATGCGGAGACAATTACAACGATTTATTCAATCAGAAGATTGTCTAACTTCAATTAACAGTACAGAACCAGGAGTTGTACATTTTAAAGTTGAAACTTTACAATGTCGTGTTGGTTTAAATCCTCAACATTTACAATCGCTTCACATTAAAATTCAACCACTACCTGAGCATAAAGAACAGTGGACTCCTGAAGAACTACAAATTATCGAAAAATTTTTTGATATTAGAGCCGCTGCTCCACCTTATAAACCTAATACACTTTCAGGTTTTGGTCGAATGTTAAATGTTCCTTTGAATGTTCTTAAAGATTTTGTCCAAATAATGAAATTAGAATTGAATTCTAATATGGTACAACAGCATCAATTTAAATGGTCGGTTCAGTGGTGTTTAAGAATACCACCTTCTGCGACACCAATTGTTCCTACAGGAATGGCAGCAGTTCTTGTTTGTCGAAATAAAATACTTTTCTTTGTAAGTTTTTTTTTTTTTTATATAATATTATTTTCATTTTACAATGTAAAAGATATAAAGAATATTTTGGTAATCTCTATATTTTTTAGTTACAAATAACGAGAATCGGAATGCCTTATCAAGGAGAACCACCATCGTTAGTTTTACCGCTAGTTTATGATGTTTCAACAAATATAACACAACTTGCCGAAAAACGAGATCCCGGTCCAGGATCGGCTACAGCTGCTGCATCCATGCAACTTAAAAGATTTGCAGAATATGCAAGCCTATCTGAGTGTTCACTTTTTCCGGCGATTAGAGATCTATTAACTAATCTTACACTACCGTCCGAACCATCAGTTATCTCGCAGGTAATTAGTTGTCAAAAAATAATCTTTATATTCACAGAGCGCGTCTTAAGTGGATATAAAGATGTCGATTTATGATTTTCATTTAAAAATATTATTTTAAGTCGATATTATTTAATATGTGGTATTTGATTTTTTTTTTTTTTTTTTTTTTTTTTTTTTTTTTTTTTTTTGAAATTTCAAATTATTAATTGTTGCTAAAAATTTTTTAAGGGTCTCGCATCTACAGCAAGTGGTCAAGTGACATCTACACAACAAATTCAGAGCCCAGCCATGCAAATGCATTCACCAATGACTAGTGTTCAGAGCCAACAACCACCAGGGCCTTATGGAATGCAGGGTATGACTACACTAGGTATGATAGGAGTACCTCCACAATAAAAACAAATCTATACATTTTATCTTTAACTAACGAAATTTTTTATTAAGAAATGATCTTATCGAGTTAACGAAACTGAGACTATTAATTCTGTTTGATTTATTATGATAATCAGCCAGTGTCAAAAATTAAATGAAAAAATTTTAATCTGATATTCAAATTTTGAAATGAATTTTAATTCATTATTCATTTTACATTAAAAATGTATTAAATACGTATTTTATTGTGATTTATTTAATAGAATTGTTAATTAAAGTATATCAAGTGTAATATATAACAAACATAAATTTGAAATAACACTTATATTTAATTATGAATTAAATTATAAATTGTACTGTATAGTTTTTATATTATTATTAATAAAGAATAATGTGTAAAATAATTATATTCAGGATATTTTCGTTATTACAGCGTATAAAAACTATCAATAACATGAACTAAGTGGTGTTATATTTGTATCTTTCTATGTGATAAATGCAATAGTTAATATTGCCTAATATGAGTAGTACATAAAATATATACATCGAGTCTTACATAAATAAATGGATTTATCAAAAGATTTTCTTGAGGATTATCTAATAATTTTCCTTGTATGAGGGTAGGTTTTCGTATCTTGGTAAATGTACCGCAATAACCCTGCACGTCTCTAACGTAGTAAATTAGTAAAACTAAAACAATCTATCAGTTAAAATTATAATATAAACTGACTTAAGTAATAAAAATGGAAAAAATGTGATCATCACAAATGATAAAAATGAATGAATATAAAAATAAACAATTAAAAAAAATTATTTCAAGTATGCATGACTTTTATCCTTATATTTCAATTTAAATATTTCAATTTATTAACTAATAACATCGGGAAATATCATTAAAAATACGCATTAATTATTCCAAAAAATTATTAAATACTTTATTAAAAAATTTTTTCTAACTAACATAAAAAAATATATATTTTTTTTTTTTGAGTAATAAATTGTACAGCAAAAGTATAAAGAAAAAAATTTATGACTTGAATTTTTTGTGTAAGATGAATTTTTTCAATTTTAATGGATGTTATCGCTTATTTTAGTGTGTTAAGGAAATATTTATATAAAAATATGTTTCGAGCTTTTAGTTAAATATTTCAGATTATTATCTTCCTTTCTATGTTGTTCTTTTGTATATTACTATACCATCGCTTTACTTCGTAAAACGATGCGAGACCAGTCTTCTATGGATTATTGGATGGATGGATTCTGAAGCCATGATTTAATCTGGCAGTGAATTTTTTTTGGCGTCAGCAGCAGCACCAACAAGTCAATACTACAACAATATTTATGAGAATTCAGTCAATTTCTAGCATAATAAGATATTAGTAAAAAATATTGGTGAGATGTTATTATTATTATTATTATTATTATCAATGAATTTAAAAAACAACTCATTAATTAGTTATCACTTTCATATTATTAATCAATTTCAGCAAAAAATAAATATTAATTTTTTGTAAATAATAAGAGATTTATCCTTACCATGCTGTGGTCGCCAATAACAGCATGCTAAATATAATGCCAAAATAATGACAATCAATTCGACAAAAACTAGGACTACAGCTACTCCAATAGCAATTGCTGCATTTTCTTGGATCGAATTTATTATCGCATTGTAGCATCCCTAGATAAAACGTTTAAAAGAAAATTGTTTATCAAAAGCTAGTATGCATTATTTAAAAAAAAAAAAAAAGTAAAATACTTTAGCTCTGCATGAAAAAGATAGGTTTATATCTATGAAAATTAGGAAAACGGTTGACCCTAAAGGCCATCCCTGCAACTTCCCGCTAATTCCGTACCTCAGCGCTTAATATTGCATTCATGACGTTTTTGAGCTCTTCAAGCTCAAAAATATAATTTATGTGTTATGTGAGTTGAACTCACTGAGCTCAAAGAGTTAGCTGCTCTATGCTTTTGAGCTCTTCGAGCTCAAAAGTCTAATAGAAATTTAATAAATTACAATTCTTAAAAATTTTCAAACTACAATTACTTTTGAATGAATTAACCGATTTTTACGGGGTTGGTAGCATTCAACGCAGTTTTTTAAATGCTATGATTAACTTCTAAACTCAAATTGATCAGATCCAAAATTTTAAAGAAATTTGAAAAAATTGGTGCCACGACTAGATAACCGCTACAAAATAACCGAACGACATTATAGCCATGTAACAAAATAACCGAAAGACAAAATATTATATAATAAAAATATTTTCGAATAAACACACACAAAATCCATGAAAAAAGGGCACATCAAAATAACAAGCTTCATGTGTTCCTCTATTTTTGAATAAATACACACAAAATCCATGAAAAAAAGGCAGATCAATATAACAAGCTTACTTGTTGACCTGTTTTCGAATCATATATAGAATTAATATCTTATCTTAAATAGATTTTTTCATAAATTTTAGAATCAAAATCTCTAATAATTTTTGTCATTTGGTTTGCAATTGTATTATATGATTGATTGTAATATCCATTGCGTATATTATTTTTGTACCTATAAATTTAAAAATTATTTTGAGAGATTAATTATAAACTTTTGTGATCTGGATATTTTGTTACATGGTTATAATGTCGTTCGGTTATTTTATCTATGATTATTTTGTCGTCCGGTTATTTTGTCCACGGTTTATTTATCTTCGATTATTTTGTCGGCGGTTATCTAGACGCAGCACCAGTTGATAAAGACGTATAAAAGTTATTCTAAAAAAAACCACATTTGAAAAAATTTTTTTTCGCAGTTTTTCTGAAATTTCTCAAAATCTACCTGTTCGAATCGGTCCAAATTGTATTCAAAATCTGAGTTTAGTCAAGCCCTCTCAAATGGCGCCAATCGCGATCAAATCGGTCAAGCCGTTTAAAAGTTATGAGAGGTTTACACACACACACACACACACACACACACACACACACACACACACACACACACACACACACACACACACACACACACACACACACACACCATCGTAAAAATCGTCAGGAAAGCTCCCTAGGACCTCAAAACGTCGAGATATGATGAAAACTCAATTTTTGAAAAACGGGGTAAAACCAATAACTTCAATTTTCTTAGCGGGAAGTTAAAAAACATTATTATGAAAAAAATATAAATGTTAAATAGCAATGAGTGATATACCAATAAAAATGACTGTGCAAAGAGAATACATTATTTTCGGGCATTCAATGCTACCTAAAATTTTAATTTTCACTACAGCAGAGTGAAAAAAAAATGTTTGTAATTATATTTATAATTATAATTATAATCACATTCGGACTATCAATTAATCAGAGGAACTAACTATAAATTTAAGGCGTATTAGTAATCATTGAAATTATATTACCTGCATATAATATGAATTTGATAACGATGGATTAGTTGGACAATTTGAATCCTGGAGAATACCATTAATTTTATTGCAGCATGCCTCAGGTACTTTCTTTTCTATCATCGACCAATTAGGACTCTGACTGAAATCCGTATAATTGTCAACTCCACAACATTTCATCTACAATTAAGAATATTTTTATAATAATTTTATTTTTATTTAATTTATTGCATCAAACAGTTACAGAACTTGTTTTTAGCAAGGGGGAATTACAATAAGGATACATTATGAAGTAATAGCTAAAATCTTATGTACAAAAACAGCGCTAAAATATAAAGAAAAAAAAAATAAAAAATAAATAAACATTACTGAAAGCACAGTGGGAATAGATCAGTTGCTTAACTAAGACAACAGTACACTTTTTTTTTTTTTTTATTAGTTGACCACAAATTAACTGGGAAATAGTAAAAGAGGAAAATAAGAAAATAAGAAATTATCAGGAACACTATCTTAGTTTTTAGTTTAAGAAATCACAGGTTTAGAGCCCAGGCTCTTAGCTTCATGCTTGTCTCCACGTAGTTAAAAATCGCGTACAGTTCTTTGGGAATTGATGATGTTAGTAGCTTGTTGATGGATCCCGACTTTTGAAGTGGCTCTTGGATGAGAGATTGTCTTATGGCAGAGAACATGGGACAAGTGCACAGGAAATGTCGTAGTTTTATAATAATAATAATATGAGAAATAGGGATATCAAAAACTACAGGTTTATTTTTTTACACGAATCATAATACAAAAAATTAAAGAGAGAGTGTTTTACGATTGAAAAAAAATTTTCTCCCCTTTCTGCAACTATTTTCATTGTTACAAGATTGTTAGTTCACGAAATCAACGTAATGTATATACCATTGTACAGAAAAAAGGTTCAATCTGCATTTCCCTGATTTAAAAAAAGTATTGAACCATGCAACTGTATATCTATATTGTATGTATATATAGATATACAGTGTGTGAAAAGTATTGAAAAAGTATTGAATTACATACTTTTTCAATACTTTTCAATACTTTTTTTTAATCAGGGTTTTTAAAAATTGATTCAGTGTAATAGAAATGAGAAAATTGGAAAAAAAAAAAAAAAAAACAAAAACAAAAAAAATATCAATATCTTTTTGTACTAAAAAAAAACTGTTTTGAATTCTGCAAGCCGCATCAAAATTGGCTGATTTGTTAAAAAGATATTGCAATTAAAAATTCCCTTGTGGAAATTTTTCGGACTTTTTTCAGAAAAAAACTTCTAAAGACTTTTAAAGATTTTTTCAGAGTTTTCGAGGTTTTCTGAGAAAAAAGTCCGAAAAATTTTCATAAGGGTTTTCAAAAAAAGTGTTATACCAACACAACTACTAGATTATCGAGCTTGGAGAGCTCAGAACTTCTCGGCTGCCCAATTTCAAAACACAGTAACTGACAATTTTATGATTTTTATAAATTTTTCTTATTAAAAAAAAGTTTGCGCGCCTAATTGATAAAAAATTTGATTTATGAATAGAAAATACTTGAATATAAATATTTTTAAGAAAAAACACTTGAAATTAAGATCTAAAAGTTATAAGAAATGCAGAAATACTAAAAAAAAATCAGACATAAAAATTTTGCAGTTACTGTGTTTTAAAATTGAGCAGCCGTTCTCATTAAGAAATTTTTTCGAGCTTTTCGAGCTTGTAAGTAACGAGAAGTTCTAGGGATGGCCTGCAGAGTCAAACGTTTTAGATTTTTTTTTTTTTTTTTTTTAGTTATATCTATTTATTTATTATTTCATTTTTAATTGAAAGAATATTTATTTTTCTGTTCTTGCACATACGTGCAGTACTTGTATTGATTTAGCGAGAAAATTTTAAAAACTAAGTTTTGAAATGTTAGCACAAATCATAATAGCCTTAGCACTTAAGACCGACCATTTCTTTGCATTATTTTTTTTTTTTACAAAAAGTTGATTGAGCATTATAAGTAGTGCTTTTTTAGATTCTTAAAATTTTAAAAAAAATTTTTCCACAAACTTTTAATTACCTGATTCATTATTCCGTCCCAAGCTACCGTAACAGCTTCGGTTTTGTCTTCATTTGTTGCGTAATATTTCATCGTTGCCTTGAGTAACGTTCTTACTCCTTGTTCTGTCTACAAATTCAAAATTATTGTTTATTGAGTTAACATTTTGCGAATGTTATTAGTAATTATATCGTTTACATTCGATTAAATTTGAATCATATAATGTTTTACTTACTTCACTATTCCAACTGAATGACAAACCTACTACAGTACATTCCAAGATCAAAACAACTAGGATGAGAATGCCATACTAAAAGAATGATCGAAGTATTTAAAGTGAAATAAGCTACTTGTAATGAAAAAATTTTATCATTTTCAACCTACAATACAAAGTAAACATCTAGACTCGAACATGGCACCGCAATATCCTAAGAAACTGACAATAAACGTAAGTGCTCCAACAATAATCAAAATGTAAGATATTGTTTTTATAACATCAGGATCTGTTTTTGTCTGTAATAAAAAAAATCTTGATTGGATAAAAATAAAGTTTTATGTTAATTACAAAAATACAAAACTGAATTTAGATAAAATTTTTAAAAACAGAAAATATTTTTTGGTGATAAAAGCATATAGATTGCGTTTTTTTACACTTCAAAAAAACGGAAGAATCAAATTAAACTTTGCTCGAATTGTAAGATCTCATTGAATAAATGATTGGTTCCGTGTTTAAATCAACAGTTACGTTTACTAATTTCAATTTTTTTTTATGAAATACAGTATTTATTCAACATTTATTTATCATAAATTAATAGTAGATATGTGAGAGTTATATATTGTCTTACATATAAATTACGAATTATTTGTTGATCATTCTTTAAAAAACTGTGTATAGTAACAAAAGGTTGAAAAATAGTTATTTTAGACGAATAATTATATTGAATTAGTTTTGAACCATAATTACTAAATCAAAAAATATCACGAAAGATATTACTATGCAAATCTAAGTATGCTACAAATACTGATTAAATATAATGAAAAATATTTCAGAGATAAAATATTAACGAAATTATTAAGCGTTTGTTGGTATCATTAAGTCCATGTATCAATTATTGAAATTACACTAGAAAAATATATATAAGAGCTAGACAAATGTGTTATTATTTAGCATTATATTCTTCTAATAACCAATAGATATTATTTATAATAAAATATGATTATAGATTATAAGAATGATGGTATGATACTTTTACAAGATTATAACTGATTTATTTAGGAATCGCTGTGTTATATCAAATCATCATAAATTTTTGTATATTTTTTTTTTTTTAATTTGTTTAAAGTCGCATAAACTACTAAGGTCATGAGCGACTACGGTAGGGGGTACACTTTTGAGATTGGAATTCGTTTGTATTTCTTGGGCTGAGCAGAATAATATACACTTAAATATTGAAAATATTCATTGGTGTACGCCGGATTCGAACCCGGTCCAATGCTTTGGTAGCAAGGGCCGGATCCGATAGGCTACTGCGCGCCTCTTTTTGTATATTATTAAGTTTTATATCTGCGAAAAGATTTCATCATAAAATTTTTTCATGGGAAATTATTATTCTTGAAGAAAATACTGGTGATTACTTACTTACGATCATATATATATGAATTTCATAAAAGAGCTACTCAGTGATCATGCATTTCGAATTTTTCCCATAAAATTTTTTCATGCGGCATTGATCAGAAATAAACGATCACAATAAAATAAAAAATGAATTTATTATATGATATAAATCTACAATGACTCATTTATATTAATGAGATACCATTAAAAATAAATAGTTGAAGCTATTAACATTAATATAATTATTTATTAAAATGCTTACCAGAACATCGGACTCGTCGATTTTGCTAATGAGATTTGTAAATGTACTTATATCAACAATAAGCCATATTCCGACAGCTAAAGCAGCTCCACCGGCAATCTAAATAATATAATAGATCTAAGTTTGTTTGAAATTCAAAAAATATAATCTACTTATAATAACAAAAAAAAAAATTATAATTTATTTATATATGAATTTTTGTGTTGGTGCATATTGGTGACATTTAAAAAAAAATTGTTTTAAAGATCGCATTTCTTAACATATCATGCGTCGTACTAATATAAATAGGAAACTCTGTCAAACACTGCTTATTCTATAGAGAGTTACATAATACTATGAGTAATGTACTCAAAAAAGAATCATTTTTATTGATAATTTTAATAAGAATACGTTCTTCTCATATGTGTTGGAAATATCTATAATAAACTAATAATTTTATGAAATTTGAAATATAAAAATAAGATTAGACATAATTGTTTCATTAACAAAATAATTTACTTACGAAGAAAATGAAATTGAAGAAGCATAGAAAAAACTTTGCAAACAATGCAATGCAACCCATTTTGATATAAAAATATGATTTTCAAATCTGTAACAAAAAATTATTAAAAATAATTTTTTAAAGAATAAAGCATTTTTTACGATAATAAAAACATAGGGGACATTCATCCGAATATACAATTAATTATATAAGCTTAAAATAAAAGTAAAAAAGTAATTAATTAGTTAAAGGCGTAAAAATTTCAATTATGTATTTTAGAGCTAAAAAGGTTTGAATCGAAGTTCGAACATTTATAAAATTTTGAACTGCGGCAGTTTTCGGAGGAGTTATTCGATTTTAATCTGATTTAGGATACCTAACGCAACTTTTCTAGCATAAAAGAAGTGATAAAATTAAAAATTAAAAATCTGTCTAAAAATTTATTTTGAAAAAACACTTTTTATTTTTCAAACTGGCTACCTATTGAATTGAAAGATTTTTTTCTTATATTAAAATTTATCAAATAATATGGTATTCTATCCTAGCGAATTTAAGCTTCCGCGTCGCGGAGCGCCGCACTGTGAGAAATACTAAAGCTCACATCATCGCGTTAAGAGTGAAATTTAAGAAGAAACTCGCCCCGTCAGAAAATTAAAGATAAATAGTTATTTGCTGAAAATAATTTTTTTTTTCTTACTTTCATTTACTAATTAATTTTTTTGGGTACTTATTCTATTTCGCGGCATAATTTTTCTGCTAGGAGTAAAAAAGAGAATAAAAGTTTTCTTGCCATATTTTTTTTTTAAATCGAGCTATCAAATTCAACCGTGCTTCAAAATAAGCCTCTTTTTCATTTTCTTCTGAGACACATGAATATTTTTACAAAAATGATAAAAATTATTATTTTAGCTATGGTTAATTAAGAAATTTGCCAATTTTGTTTTACAAATTTATAATTTTAAGGGCTAATTTTTATATCAGAGTATCTCTATAGCGCAATGAGTTTTGAATATAATAGAGAGATTTAAAATTTGGTATACGGTTATTTATTCTATTTTCATTTTAGAACTGATGTTTACTATGTTTACATAGTCACACCACTAAACGCCTTATTTGTGTATAGAAAAAAAAAATAGTCGCACAGTTCTACAAAGACTTTTTTTTTCGTTTCAAAACATTTTCAACAACCTAAAATAAAATTTTTAATAAGATTTGAATTATTTTACCTGCCGTGTAGTATATTGTATAATTATTGTAAGAAACAAATGTTGCATAAGATGAAACTCAATTCATTTTATTTTTACTTATTAATATGCATTTTCATACACCTCAATTTATAATTTCAGTTGTCAATAAAAAAATTAACTTTATTAACACTATATTCCAGGTTATAGATATAGGATGAATGATTAAATAATGACATTACTGTTTGTATTAATTCAGTCGACACTCACCTTATTTAAAATTGTTTGTTTGTTTTTAATCTAATATCACAAAAAATTTTAACATGTAGTATTAATATCTAATATGAGTGAACTAATCCATAAAGAATTTTTCGTGATGGTTATATTGATGAATCTATTAGCAATCGAATAAAAAAATAACACAATCCTAACAAAACTGATATAAAACTGATAGGTCTAATTTAATCTGACTAACTCAAGAACATAACATAACAAAACGTCACCTATCACATAACATCGGGGCCTCACCCATATTTCTTTACAAGTATAGTTTTTTTTATCTAGTTTCAATGTCTTTCTAAGTTTACGATTCTAACCATTCTACGTAGACATATTTTTACCACGTAAATATCATCGCCTTGAATTGTAAAAAAAAAGATTTTTTATAAGTAATTTAGTTCAAAAGTTCTGTATAAAAAAAGCTCTGTTAAAAAATTATACTGCTTAATTAAAACTTATTAAAAATATTAAAAAAAAAAAATAATCTTATCTAATTTTTTAATAGAAACTACTTCTATCGCTGAACGATTCCGTGCATATTTATACAAAACGAAATATAAACTCAAAAAACTTTTTCATAATATTTCGCGTGTAATTAATAAAAAAAAAAAATTTTTTTTATCTCATTTATGAGGTGATAACTTACAATAAGATATAGGATTATTATTTTTTTATAATACGCGACTGTAAAATTAAATGAAAATGAAGTCTAGATCTTCTATTGTCATAAGTAATGGTGTGTGATGTATGAATATTTATGAGCTTACAAGGATATCAAGGAATTATAAAAATAGGTCGTATAAGTATATGAATAATCGTTTTTTTCCGAATTAAATTTCAACAAACCATTAGTTAGTTAGGTGTCAATCTCAGTAGAAAAAAATTTTGATTTAAAAAAAAAATCAAAACAACATTTAAATATAGATGCTCACAAATTTAATATAAATAATAGTTTTAGGTTATGGACGCTATTTTTATTTTGATTTATTTGTTTACATATCTAACCTGTCGCCCCTAGGGGATATTTGCTATAAGTGTGGGTATATATATCAGATACTTAATTGATACTGAAATTAACAAACATCTGTAAATTTTTTGGATTTTTATAACAACTAAATTATTGTGAAAAAATTTTAATAAAAAATTTCACATCTATAAATTAAAAAAAATTACCAGTGCAAATTTTTTAATAATATTTTATTTTTAGCATTGATTTGTCATAAAAATTAAAAAAATTGGCAGATGTCTGCTGACTTCAGTATCATATAGGTACTTAAGGGTGGACCGTAGTAAGTGGTATTTTCAAAAATTTTATTTTTCTAATCACGTCTTAAATAAATTTTCAAATCAATTAAAATAAAGTTTCAAAAAACGACTATACTGCGACTAATTATTGCGGAAGCTTTATCATAGTTCATATAAAATTTTTTACAAAATAATCAGTAAATTAAATTTTTGGAAATGCATTCTCTCAGCCCACCTTTAACCAAACGGGAATTTATTCGAATACAAATATTTTTAATCAAATATCTGTGGAGAATATTTTTTAATATATATTATTATTATTTATATTATTATAAGAGATTCTTATCTATATAGTCACTCATCACGATATCTCGGAAACCATCAGACCTAGAAACTTGAAATTTGGTAGGAATATTACTTTTGCCATGTAGAGGTCAGCTAAGAACGGTTTTTAAGAAATTCCTCCTCCAAAGGGGTTTGCGGGGGCGTTAACAATGAAAAATTCCCCTTTTTAAACTATAAGCTCCTATTGATTCCAAATTTGGTAGGAATCTTCTGTCAGAGATGTAGAAATAGTATATGAATTAATTTTATGATAGATCACCCTACAGGGGGTTGTGGGGGTGGGTACCCAGTCAGCAATATGACGTCTAATGAAGTCTTTAAAAACAGTTTAACATGGTAACCAAATCTTAAAGACGTCATATTGCTGGCTGGGTATCAACAATGAAAATTTTTAATTTTCTAACTATAGCTCCTACAGAATCCAAATTTGGTAGGAATTTTCTATAAGTGATGTAAAAATCATTTATGAACGAATTTTACGGTATTTCACCCCACAGGGGATTGCGGGGGTGGGTATTAACAATGAAAATTTTTAAGTTTCAAACTATAGCTCCTACAGACTCCAAATTTGGTAGAAGTTTTCTGTAAATGATGCATAAATCATTTATGAACGAATTTAACGATAGCTTATCCGACAGGGGATTGCGGGGGTGGGTGTTAACAATAAAAATTTGTAATTTCCAAGCTATAGCTTCCATAAACTTCAAACTTGGTAAGAATCTGCTACATGTGAGGTAGAAGTGATTTAAGAGCGGATTTAATGACAACCTACTCCAAATATGAATTGCGGGGGTGGGTGTTAACAATGAAAATTTTCAATTTCCAAGCTATAGCTCTTATATAGGTTCCAAATTTGGTAAGAATCTGCTATATGTGTGGTAGAAATGATCTAAGAGTGGATTTTATGACAACTTACTCCAAATATGGATTGAGGAGTAGGTGTTAACAAATAAAAATTTTGGTATTCAAAATATAGCTCCTCCATGCTCTAAATTGAGTATAGGAGTCTCTCTATATGTGATATAGAAATGATCTAAAAGCGGATTTTACAACGAATCACCTCCAATGAGGATCGCGAGAGTGAGTGTTGACAATAAAAAATCTTAATTTTCAAAATATAGCTTCTAAAAACTATAAATTTGGTAGGAATCTTTCATTTCTAACGAAGAGATCATCTCAAAATAGATTTTAACAAATTCTACTCCTGATAGGGATTACGGGGCTGGGTTTTAAAATTTACAAATTATAACTTCTACAGACTCCAAATTTGGTGGGAATCTTTGTGTATGATGTCAAGTTAAGCTAAAAATGGATTTTCTCGAATTCCAATCCAAAAGGGATTGCGAGTGCGTTAACAATGAAAATCACTTATTTTTAATCAAATAGTTTCTATGGCCTCTAACTTTTGTTGGAACCTTTTGATTATAATGTAGAAATCATCTTGAATAGGATCTTACGAAATTCCTCTCTTACATAGCAGTGCGGGAGTGATGATTGTCAAAAAATTCATATTATTCCTACAGATATAAAATTTGATAGAATCTCAAGAGAAACAGGAAATCACAGGGATGGTCTCCAAGGTCAACCGATTTAAATATTTTTCATTCTTAATAATTATATTTTCTGACAACAATCGTCTCTTTGGCAGCGGCTAAAAAGTCAACGGACTAAAAGATTAACATACATTTTATTTTTGCTGATCACTAACCGATGAATTGTTCATATTACGGAGGAAATTTTAATTAACAGCAAAATTCGCTGCACTTTGAGCTAGGCAGATTTGAATTTCACTTATGAGACTACAATAACTTTAACTGAAACTTTCAATGCTCATTTCAAATTTTTTTCTTCGTGTCAATTATTATTCATTTTTTGAAGAAAGCCACGGGAATGTTATATTAATTGCACATTAAAAGTTACAATAAATATTAGCTAGAATGATCACATGGATAGAAAGTAAATGCCAATTCGATGAAATTCGGAATCTTTGTAAGTCAATACAATACTCCAATTAAATTTCAAGCTTAAATCTACAAATACAATTCGATAAACGTCCAGCGGAGCGGGCGGGTAACAGCTAGTATTAGTAATAGCGAAAAAAAAAAAAAAAAACAAAGTAGGCATAGGCTGAAAATATGAGAAATAATACTTTTTTTTTTAAATTCTACTTTCGATGCGCAACACGAACATAATATAAGAATGTTGAAAATTTAATACATCATCTTTAATTTGTTTTAATAGAAAAAAACAAAATATTTATACATTTTTATTTCTTTCAAAATTGAAACTAATTTTTATTACCTCTAATTCGCCTGAATAGAACAACAAAATTTATACAAAAATTTCTAATAACTTAATTTTTGAATTTTTTGTATTTTATATGGCTGAAAATAGATGAAGCTCTAATTTTTATTCAAATAATTACCAAAACACAACCTGTGAAACTTTAAAGAGATTTTGTTATATCATACATTTTTATATCATTTTTTGAATTTTTTTGTCCTCATTAATTCTCGTGTACATTTTAATTAATACTAATTTTATAAATAATATTACTAAAATGTATTTGACATGCTGGCTTTTATGTTTTTCTTTATTTTTCTTGCACAATTATTCTATTTTTTTAAATTATGATTTGAAAACAGAATAAATTGCTATATTTTTGTCTTTCCGGTTATTTACCGGAAGGAAGTTAGCGTAGAATAATTTTTTTTTTAATTAAATTATATGTCAATTGATTGCTCTTTAAATGCTCTATTAGAATCCGTAATTGCTCCAGGTCTATTACTATTAGTTAATTTTTAATTAATTTTTCAAAAATTTTTTTTTTGAAAATTTAATTTTGCTATAAAACCTAAAATATTCACTTTTTCAAAAATTTTTTTTTCTCAAACAATTGCTCTCAGTTTGTTCTACTAATTAAAAAAAAAAAAATATTATAATTTTGCATTATTTATAATAGACCTTTAAAAAGATCAACAATAGAAATGATAAATAAGAATAGATTTTTTTTTGTTTAAAATATTTTTATGTAATTTTTTGTTAATGGTTTATTAATAGAATTCCTATAGTTAAACATATGAATATAAGATGTATTTTTATGACTATACATACACGCACAAGATAATCAAATCAATACTGTTAAATTAATTGAATTATTACAATACTTTTGTTCTTATTCATTATCAATACAACGTAGAATGAAAAGAAATTGTTCCAACAGCAATTTTCTTCTATATTAAAAACAAAAGAGCATACAATTTTATAGTAATAAATGTTACAGCTAAAAATATCAATTTAATGGTAAAAATATTCATTTTATGCAACCTTTTCTAATTTAGTTTTCACAATACTTCTATCTCGATAAAGTACAACAGATAGATCACTTTCTGAATCGGATTCATTGTTCATAATATTCGTACTTGTTTTATTGTCCTCTACAATGACTCCTGTTCCGTCTGTAGCAGTATCTTTAACGAGAACTGCATCTAAATCATAAATGAAATTTTTATTTTCGAGTTTCGTACGATTTCTGCTGTTACGAGATGGCCTATTGTGATTTGATGATAATTTCATTGTTGCTATATGATTCAAGCTATTTTCTTCATGATCTGAATATGTTTTATTAGGCATTTTACTGTTTTTTTTACAATCTCGAATTTCCTCAATTTCAGTACTACTTCCAGGTTCTTCTTCATTTACTGTTTCAGATGAACCAAATATCACTTCCATAACCATTCGACGCAGTTCTGAGTCTTCCCCTAACTTGGCTTTTTTAACCATCTCACTATTTTCGTCAGGTAATTCTTCACAAGATTTAACGCTACAGCTATCGTTTTCATCTGTAGAATTATTACCGTTTTGAATTACTGGTATAGTTACATGACATTTTTTCAATAAACTTCTTGAAGAATTTGTAGATTTTTCATTGAATGTTGATTCTATTATCATACTTTCAATATTCATTCGACTATTTTTAGCGTTATGAATTTTATTACAATGAGTAACACAATCGATCTTATTAAAACATTTAAATTCACATAATTTACATCTAAAACGGTACCAATCCATATGCTCAGTCATATGCCTTCGTAGATGTGTAAGATTGGAGAATGTAAGTTTGCACGGTATGCATTCAAATTTTTGAGGACTTATAAAATTTATTTTTTCATCTAAATTTGTATCTGATTTTGATAGTATTTTTGCCGAGTTCATTTTCTCAGTATTTTCTTGCACCAATAAGTTAATTCTTTTGTTAGAATCTAAAATAATAAATTTATAAGATATAAATTATCAGTTTATAGCATCAATAAAAATATGATCAGTATTATTTACCTATTGAAGTATTTCGTTTTCCCATTTTTCTTTTTTTGCTGCCTTTATTTTTTAAAATACTAGGCGGTTTCTCAATATTGGTAAATATAATCTCTGGATCATCTGATACACTATCATTTGGAGATATTTTTGTTGGCATAGCTTCAGAAGGTATTGTCAAGACGTCAACACTAGTATCAACTCTTAATTTAGATGTTTCATCTCCAATTTTTTCCCACGCATCTTTGCTAAGACTAGCAATACCTTCCACTCTAATTTCATTAGCCTGTTGTTGCTGAGGTAATCGAGTTATTGAAACAGCAGGCGATATATTAGATAAATTTAATAAGCTAGTGGAATTTACTGAGGATGATATTACTCGTGATTCTGATTCCATAGACATTTTTTTGATTGGTATCTGTAGATTCTCCTTAGTTGGTTTAGAAACTTCAGTCAACGTGCTTATTTTTTCAGTATTTGCTTCAGAAGCAATTTTATTGCGTTTAGATCTAATCGCAACATCACTACACACAGCTTGACGTCTTTGACAAATTTGAGAGTGTGCTAACAATGCCGCTTTTCTGTCAAATCTTTTGTTACAACCTCCACATCTTTGAAGCTCTGTATCTGATTCCAAGTGTGTCATCCATTCCTGGAAAAAATAATTTATTGAGTATTATTAATTATTAATAACGCAATAAATATCGTGGATTAATCTAGACATTTATACCTGAGTTTCATTCATTAGTCGAGATTCTTTGGAATTATTCAATTTATTATTAGCACAATCCTTATCAATGTCTTGAGCACGAGTAGTTTCTTTCAAGTATGCTTTTGTTTGAATCTCTGATCGTAACTTTCGGACTTGAGCATTACTTTTTCGATGAACTAGAAAATAAATGTAAGTTATTATATTAAATAGTTGTGATCTTTTATTAATTAATTTAAGAAAAAAAAAAAGGTACCTTTTACTAAATGCCGATAAACGCCCCATGTACTAGGAAATAAACTTGGACAACAAGGGCAAGGATAGACAAGTCGATTAGGAGTATGAAGTGATTTTATATGAAAAGTTAATGTTTTTTTGGTTGCAAATTTGATATTACATGTTGAGCACACGAGATTATGGTTTGACACTTTATCAATGTCTTTATTGTCAACTTTTCCATCATTCCTAAACTCCACAATGGACCCATCTGGACCAAGTACAGCTGTATCTCGATTTAATATATTTTGTAATTCTATCGTCTAAATTAATTGAAAGTTTTAAAGTATAATTCAAAGATTTAATATTAATTAAGAAATATATAAGAAAAATAATCACCTGAGCTTTCATTAGATCGTTTGAAGCAATATTTGACAGCTTTGGTTCTAAGACAGTTTGAAAAGCAGCTCGATTAGAATCTAAAACTTCTAAAAGTACTTGTTCAGTATCTGCTACAATACGAGTTCGACGATTTTTTTCTTCAACGTCATTATAATTTGGATCTGCTTGTTTTTTCTGTAACATTGTTATCACTGATGTTAAATCCTTCTTACTAAATTTCCTATTGAGAGCTTCATTTTTGGATGATTTTTGATCTTCATAATTTTCTTCACATTCAGAATCAATAGATTTTTCAACGACCTGAAATAATAGTTATTATTAAAAAAAATTTTAATTAGTGGTAGAAATAATATATTACGATATATTTACAAACCATAACTTGAGGATTTATGACATCTTTGTTATTTGAAATGTTAAATTTTTCAGGACAATAAATTCGTTTATGTGAAATAAAGTTTAATAAACTTCTAAATAAACTTCGACATATTTTGCATTCATAAATAACTTCACATTCATAAGTGAGAATATATTTAATTTCATCATTTGCAGTTTCTAACAATTTTGTTACTTGAACTAAATTGGATAAACTTGTATCGATAGGTTTACATAAATTCGAGAAGTCACAAATAGGAGTTTCAATTTGAGGCGAATCTTTTGGCGTAAGTTTATGTCGAGTGAATTTCCGATCACTTTTCTTTGTTTTAGTTTTAGCTTTCATTTTAGAACCTGAAATATTATAATAAAGATTAATATGTCTCAATAGCTTATAAAAATGCATTATATAATATAAATTACAGTTCATAAATATTGTTACGAAATTCAATCACAACCTTATATTGATGTAAAAATCTTGATACATTTATATATTTTGAAAAAATAAAGTTGAATAATTTTTTTTTAATAATATTTTACATCTATTTAAGTTTTGTCCTCTGTAAGAAAGCAAACAGAACCTCATAATTCATATACCCTTGTGTATTAAAAATAAAAATTTATATTCTATGAATTCAAAAAAAATTTTTTTTATTTTATTATCTAAGATATATAACTTGGGGGGAAAAAAAATGTATATATATATATATGTATATATACATATAAAAACTCAAAATATTAAACCATGCTGATTTTGAACCAACAGCTTAAACTGAAAAAAATACTTTTACGTTTATTTAATTATATACATATTGAATTTTCATTGAAAAAAAAAAAAATAAAAAAAAAACTTAAAATGAAAAAATTGTAAAAAAAATAAGAAAATAATAAATAAATTATAACAGCATTAAATGAAGATTAATATATTTGTTAAATAATCTACTAGGCAACATATAGCTACTATCGAACCATGTCTCTCCTTCGATTTTTATTGAAATGATAAAGTTATATTAAAAAGTATCAACATCTTTCACAAAAAGCCTTTTTTAATTTACCGTTTAATATTTTTTTTCTATGAAAAATATAACTTGCTTATAAATAAATTTAGTATAAATGTGGCTCTTATACACTCCCGGTGACCTCCATTTTTAACTACAGTTCAAGCTTCAAGCCATCACCGTCACATTATAGCCTAAACAAAGAATTTAAGGAGTCGCTCTTCTGAGATTTTTTTCAATTAAGTCATTTTATTTTTTGAAAAACTATATTTCGTTGCAATTTTATTGTCAATGTAGAGTGCTAAAAAAATTTATTGTAAAAATTCATTTAAATAATATTATATACTAAGGTAATATTTTAAGAAATATAAATCATGATATTTTATATAACCTGTATGTATGTATGTATAATGTCCATAACATATATATAGAATAAATAAAACAATAATTTTTTTTTTGGTTAATATATTTATAAAAAAAAAAAAAAATGATAATTTATAGATATCCGCTAATAAGCATTATTTATTGTTACAGTGCACTAAAATGGCTATTTTAAATAACAAAGTAATTTTATTTTACAAAATAAATAAGTTTTGTAAATACTTGTCATCATCATGGACATTACCGATTTTATCAAACATGAACAGACGACAAATTTGTACAAATTCAATTAATTTTGTACCTGCTAAATTAGTTTATAAAGAGAGTTTGTATAATCGAGTTAAAGAAAAAGTTTATTATCATGTCTTCAAGAAGTATGTAAGTTTTATTTCATTCATTAAAATTTTTATAAAATAAAACATTTGTCATCCAGAATTTGTCTGATTTCAGGTTCACAGAACAAAAGGTTTTTTGTTATACAGACACAGTTGCGATAGCCTCGATTACGTCTCATTTATGAAAGGTAGTTAATAAAAAACAAAATAATTTTTTTAATTAAATCTAATCCAATGTATAATATATATTATAGATTATGATATGCCAGATACGTTTTTTTCTTGGTTCTTAATTACCGAATTACACGTGTGGATGCTCATGGTGAGATTAATGGCCATAGGAGACGAAGGAATGGCAATTCGATACCATTTAATAGCTGCATTATGGCAAGATACTGATGTTAGGAAAAAACAGCTTGGAGTAAGTTACAAATAATGATGTAATTCTGTGAATGTAGGTACGCGTTATTTCACATATTTACATTAATCTTTCATTTGCATTATATATAGAATATTAAAGATTCAGCTGTAAGACACCATATAGAAGAGATAGGATATCAGTTTAATGCTGCAATTTTGGGTTATGATGAAGGTTTACTATCTGATGATCATGTATTAGCTGGGGCTATATGGAGAAGAATTTTTTGCATGGACTGTAATAGTCCCGAACGTATAGAAAAATTAGTCAGATATATTCGTAAAAATGTAAGTTTAGAAATATTTTTTTAATAATATTCCTAATTTTTGATACATTTATTTTGATTATAGATCAGTGAACTAGATAATCTCCCTAATGAATTATTCATAAAATCAACTGTGGTACGTTGGCATGACTATCCAGCTAAAATAAATCTATCCGATTAATTTATAAACTGCTTTTTAAAACAACCTTTATTCAGTGTTTTAATAACAAAATTATATAAAAAAAAAAAAAAAAATAAAAAAAAATACTATTTCATTGTATAATCTGTATAAAGTAATTTTATTTAATTAGTATGTAAAGATTCTAAAAGTTATAAAAGCAGTACTTTTAAATAAATTGTAATAATAAATTGTTGCATTCACTTTTATCGTCACTGGAACTTCTCACGATTCTACAGATATATTCTTTTAGACAATCATTGTCACATTCGTTTTTTAAAGAAGGTGCAGCATGCTTGAAAAAGTTTCTGAAAAATAATAAATATGTATTTTTTACATAAAATTTATTTCTACTTTGTAGGTGATGAAATAGCTAGATAATTTTCAATACGTAACGTACTTATGATATATTTGAAGTATTGATGAATATTTGATCATTTTATCAACCAACTGATTCAAACTGTTTTTAGATAAATCTTCTAGATTATATGCCTCTTTGAAAGAATAGGACTTGAACCAATTAGGTCGTTTCAAAAAATTTTCATTGGCTTCAGTAAGATTATACATCCAAGTTTCAATATCTTGAACAACCTGATTAATAATTAGTATTAGTTACTTGAAATTAATCTTGAAGCGACGCATTGATGGATATATTACTAGTTGCTTACATAACTATTATTATCTACTTCATATACTTTATAATTTGGATTTAAATTGGCATATGGAGTTAAACTACCTCCGTTCCAAACAATATTTATTACTTGATTACTGTCGTTTGGATTATAGAATAAATTAAATTCATCATTGTGTGTATGTCCATTAAACTGAGCAGCAATTACGTGAGCAAATCTATTGATAATTTTTTTGTATTCACGACTCCATGTATGTTGACACTCCGTAGAACCAGGTGGTATGTGGCTCAAAATATGGACGATTTCTTTATTTTTTTCAGCAATCAAGAGATTATCAGCTAGCCATTGTAATTGACCCCCAGGATCTTGAGGATCGTAAAAAAGCCACCTGTTTAAAGCATTTTTAACAAGGAAATGTTTTACCAAAATTCATGAATGTCAAAAAATTAAAGATTTTAAATCAATTTTTAAAATAAAATATTAATTTGTCATTTACCAATTGTAAATATAGCAAACATTACTGTTAAGACTAATTATCCGAAATCCTGGCCTGGGTGACATATTATAATATCCCCCTTTCAAAATTGTGTCTTTAACAGATGGTGGTAACCAGCCAGCTTCAATCCAAATGTCTGCCATTAGTTCGTATAGCCATTCAGTTGATAAACTATCATTCTTGATATAATCCGGCGCATATCTTAAATTTTAAATAAAGTTATGAATTATTAAAACTTATTATTTTTTGACTTCTTAAAAAGTAAAATTACAAATTTAAAGGATGCGATTCGTGATTCCCAAATATTGGATAAACTGGTATATCACCGAAAGTATTTTTGATGATTGTGAAACATTTTTTTATACTTTCGATGTTTCTTTGTTGACTCGTTTCCCATATTCCATGATCGATTATATCTCCAGTAAAATAAACAAAGTCAAACGTTAAATGTTGAGTTTTTATATGCTCTAAAGCATCAACAATTGAGTGCCAAGGTAGATCACAGTTATTATAATCTCCCCAGAAACCAGCAGATTTCTCATTTAGTTTCCCATTAGTATTTTGTCCACGACGACAACATGTAGGTTCATCACAATCAGCATTTCCACTTGGTTGATATAATGGATCATAATGAATATCAGTGATTTGGAGTATTTTTAATTTCTTTCCGGTTGAATAGATATCGAATACTAGTGGAGGATCATCATTGACATCTATTGCCCAATCAAACTTTTTTGATAAATCGGAACACTCTTGATTTTGTAGTAAAATACCACAAATATCATCGTGTGTAATACTTTGCTCGTTGTCAATAATATACAAGATAATTGGCTAGAATACATGGAAAAAAACTAAAAATTAATTTTACGTTCTTATATTCCATCAGAATTTTATAAAGCAAATCAATCAATAAAGTTATGGCAAACTAGACAATATAAAGAAATAAAAAGTAATATTATCCCACTCATCTATGAAAACTTGCACTCTTTAATTTTGTCAAGTTGAAAAATTTACAGTTTCAAATTTTCATCCCACGGAGACAAATAAATGAATATTTATAAATTATTGAAATTAAAACTAAATTTCACGAATAAGGGTCTTAGTGAGATAAGAAAAGTTGTTTGATTTTTTATTTCAAAAATCCGATTTTCTTTAACCAGAAATTAAAATAAAAATCAATTAAAAGAATCTTACCAAATTGATACGAATAAGTCCGTGACAAACAGTTTCAGTTTGGAAATTTAATAACGTGCAAACATTACCAGCAATCTCTTGAATTTTTTCAACGGAAGTATCATTCCGTCGAAGAGCTAAAAAATATTTTGTAAGAGACTTACAAATAACGCAAAAAATTCCAGCTTCTGAACTATTAAGTCTTGACCAATCAAGATGTCGGGCTTTAGAAGGTGTAATTAAATAATTAATAATATCTCGGAATAAAGGTGTTTGTATACCATTTTTTGCCCAGTTTATAATTTCATTAAAAACTGTTGTCTCATTTAATTCATTTCCTAAATAAATTAATTTTTATCGGTTATAAATTAGATATTCATGTGATATAAAAAATGCCATTAACATACTTGAAATTTCAGATTGGTCAAAAGATAAAACAAAAACTACTAAAATACTTAAAAATATAGAAGATCGATTGACATTCATTGTTTAAAGTGTTTAACTCGACTACTTGGAAAAATATTATTTTACATAATTTATTGATCCATAATTTAAACTTATCAATTTTATGTAGTTCTTATCTTTTAACGATTTTTATTGTAATTAAAAGATATTATCCTAATTTTCATTTAATTCTAGAATATTATTTCTACGATTTTATTATTTATCTTATCACATAATAATGAGGTGCTGAATTTAATTCAAGTAAAACAATAAGATTGGGTCTGAATGAGTAGGATAAAGTATGAAAAATGATAAGAGATTAATATTAAAAATAGTCTAAGAAAAAGCAATAAAAGAGTAAATAGAAAGTTAAGTGTATATTGGTAGCACAAATAAAGCATAATTTATTTAATTATAGTCAACTACAATGTGTAGTAATAATAGTGCAAGCCAAAAATTAAAAAAATAAGAGAAAAATAGAATAACGAGAGTAAATTATCTTTTATATGAAAGAAATATGTAAAAACAACTATGTGACTTTGTAAAACACAAAAATTGTGATACAAATAAAACTTATTTATTATTATTATTATTTATCTTATCACATTATCGTATCAGCAGTTGATTAATACTCATGTATTTGAAAAATATTAATCTTTATTGATTACAAATAACCACTCACTCTGTTTTAATTTACCATCATATATGTCAGTTTGCTGGTAACACATTCACACAATATTTAAAAAAAATTAGCACGGAGGTCGACCTGAACTATAAGTACAACGGCATGGGCCAAAATGTGCGAAGCCAAGTATTCGTCTTACACATATCAGTTAATAAGAAAAGTTTATCATTTCTGATGTGCAAACAATAGATATTGAATTTTCAATTATATGAGAGAAAAATTCATATTTTTTACGCTGAAATATCAGTCTCCTGACAAATACCACCTCAAAGAATAAAGGATTGATGTAAATTTAATTTAAACTATTTAGATTTATATAATTTGTAACTTTCAAAATCATTAAAACTTAAGAAACTTTATTAGGTATTGTGAATTCATAAATTTACATTTAAAAAATTTATATTATTTCTTCTTCATTTCAGGCAGCGTATAAAATTTTGAATGTCAGTCCCTCAACACATGTTAAATTTAAAAAATTTCAGCTATTTTCATTGTTGAAAAATCACTAATCTGTTTGGGATAATAAGCTGTTTAAGTTTATTTTAAAACAACGATTATTAAGGCCCAGTTTTTCAATCTGAGATAAAAATAAAATCATTATTGCCTGTATATTTATATAAATGAAATGTATAGATATTTTTTAATGTTGGATAAAATTTTACCCCGGATTGAAAAACTGGCCTTAAATTACAATTTTTTTTAAATTTAGTTTTAGCGATAATGTAATTAAAAAATGCGGTTGCCAACACTAATATCTTTGAAATTAATACAGACTGTCTTTCATATTACATAAAATTACTGTCTTTCATTTTATGTAATTAGTAGAAAGAATGAGCCCAAGCAGTATATCATTTTAGTCAGCCGATTGTCAATGTTTTATAAAAGATTTGTCAGCCACCTGGGACAGCACTTTACTAAAATTTATCATTAGGCTAGCTTCAGATAGTGTATGAAATATTTTATGAACATTATCTATACGATTCAAGTAATTATATAGTGATCGCTATACAATAAACTAATAACTGATTTTTGCGCAGTCCTAAGAGTAGTCCGCTGAAAAAATTATTTGTTTGTTTTCTCTTTTTTTAAACAAAATTTGACAGTATGTGAAAAATGTGCAGTACCTATTTATATTGTGATGTTCTAAATAATTTTAGATTGAATTATAATCAAATTTTTTATGTGATAAATTATAATAATGGAACGTTTTTGAAAATGTAACAATATTTAATATTTTAATTTTTTAATGAATGAACAAAATAGCTTATACAGACTATTTATACAGAATATTGAATAAAAATGCTTAATTAACCATTAGACTTTTAGGCTTTTAAATTAACGGCTCAAAAAATATTATATTTAAATAGAATATTTTTTTTGATAAAAACTTTTTTTTACCAAAAGTTTTTTGTTTGTTTAACTATTTTCATTATAAAATGAATGCTTAAGACATACATATTTAAATGAAATTTTTTAGTTTTCTTTTTGCGTATTACGTGTTGGTGATAAAAAATTTTCTTTATTTTTGCATTTTAATCAATAAATTAATAAAATTAATACTCGATTGAACATTAAATGAGCATTATGATGCGTTAACTTGTAGATTTTTTTAAGTAGAAAAAAATTTATTTTTGTTTTGTTAATTCAATTTGTAAATGCATTGAGTACTAATTATTCTTAAACAGGTAAGAAACAATAGCAGAAATAAAGTTACTATAATTAATCAAGGATTGCTCTACAAAAGCAATAAATTCAATTAAAAGTGATTTTAATTATCTATGTATAAATATATAATTTATGCATCTAAATGCAATTTTTCTATCAAACTTTCCAAATTTTCAATATTACTATTATCGAAAACTTTAGTTTTGTACTGTTTCTCAATTTGACTTGCTGTCCACTCACTTAGTTTGATTGCTTCTTTTTTCTTTGATAAAGGGCACTTTGAAGATGTTGCGATGTAGTTAGCAGACTAGAATAAAAAATTGTTTGAAAAAAAAAAAAAAAAACGTTTAAACTTGAATGGATTATTAAAAAAGAAAACTTACTAATAACAAGCCATAGAGAGCCCTCATGTTATTGGGGTTCAATTTGGCTGCTTGACTAAAGTATACTTTGGCTGTTTCAATATTTTCAAAACCACCTTGTGAATATTTTATTTCTGCATATCTTTGGTAAATAAGGTGGTTATGTGGATTGTGAAGGATCAATTCTTCCATACAAAATGCAGCTTTAGCATATTCTTGTTCTTTTAAATACAAATCACAGAGTTCATACCAAGCTTCTTGATCACTCATAAACCTATCAAAAATAAATCTTATTTATAAAATATTTGAAGTAATAACTGTAAAAAATTTATCGAGTAATTGTCTAAATAAAGCTAGAATAAAATGGGGATGTGAATTTTTTAATGATTGATTTACGAATATTCATATGTTGTATTTTAATTACTATAAATTACTTTGTGAAGGATATTTTTTTGAAGGAACCTGTAATTCTGAAAATATGCATACATTCTATTGTGCATGTTCTCATAAATAATTTTGAGCCCAAAAGTGATAATTTAATCACGAAATTATGATGCATTTATCAGATGTCATAATTTATTCTAGAAACCCATCATAGAGAAAACAAAGATGTCGAAAGCAAAAGAGTAAATTTAGTTTTAGTTTTTATACGTAGAACGATGTTATTAGTAGTAATGATTATTTATATAAAAAAATACACTCACACTTTCAAGTATTCTGTGAGCTCTTTAATAGCCTCAGCCGTTTTACCACGAGCTTTGAAAATAGCTACTTTGCGTTTTCTTGGTGCTGCATTAGTTTCATCTCTTTTTATTATTGATTCCAAAACCTCTAATGCTTCATCATACCTAAAAAATTAAAAACGTAAGTATAATATTTTTATATGGATAATTTTGAACAAATAATTTTTAATAATTGATTTACAATTCCAGAGCTTCCAAATGCATGGCATGATATTTGTGTACTCTTAAACTACCAGGAAATTCTTTCATTAATATTTTACTAGTATATTCGGCTAAAGGTAATCTGTGGCAATCCAACGCAGCCACGCAAACTTGCTCCAATATTAGGTATTCTAATAGAACAAAAAAAAAAAAAAAAGTTTTATGTAAATATGTATATTCAATTGACAATTATTGAATACATTTTTAAATTACAAAATAAGAGATGCTAGGCTATTATAAATGATTACACAAATAAAATTTTCAGTTATAATGTTATTATTACTTACTTTCGTTTCCAAGTTTATCCATTTTATCTAACAGTAAGGAATCCCAAATGTCTACAATTTCCCGACTTTTTCGTTCCGAGTTTTCTCTCCACACTCTCAATAAGTCTCGTGCTTCTGTTAATTACATAAATTTGGTTTTTATAGAAGACTAATAAAAGAGAAAAGTACATAATTAAAAACATGTACAGTGATAATTCTGTATTGTTTCAGTTTTTTCACAAACAACTAACAAGAGTAAAAAAGCAATAATCTGCGAAATGAAATTCATTCAAGATTGAAGTAAAAATTTTGAAGTATATTAATATTTTATAATATTGTCATGATTTAGTTGCTCCAAATATTGTGAAGGTGTCTAATATAAAACATAATAGGAAATCATCATTAGGTATTGATTTAATTTTATATTAATTGATTAATTTATATATTGATTGATTATCAAATTTGACAACACGACCGTTATCAATCATATATATTCAGCTGTATATCAATATGCATTTGTTGACATAGTTAAAACTCAAATTAGTCATTAGTTGTCATTGGATATGTGACATCTTGATATTTTTGTCTATATATATATATATATATATATATATATATATATATATTATAGTAATATTTTATTTAGTGCGGTGAAAAATATACCAAAACAGTTTAAGTAACATTTGTAAAAACTACATAGATCCGTGATTATATTGATTAAAATTATTAATGATTAATTATAAAGTACATTGTCATTGTTTTTTATACAATGATACAATTAAAAATTTCTAGACAATTTAATAAATACCTGTCCATTTTAAATTATTACAGTTTTCAGGCATTGTCGTGGAGATAACCAATTGTTTAATCAACAGTTAAAATCACATGAATCAACAATATCAATTAATATAAATGTTCTTATGACTTTATAACATTAATAAGGTCAACCTTATACTGGGCACTTTTTTAAAACGTCAGCACGTGGCGTTTCGGTCGCTTGAAACTAATTTTCTGTGCAGCTGCGTTTGAAAAGTAGGCGTTATAGTTATTTAACCAGGTATTTAGCCCGTTTATTATAACTAAATATTCAGCTTTTTTTTATTCTTATTTTGTTTTAAGCCGTAGTAAATGTATTTACTATGTTAATGGTAAAATGGTAAATAGAGGCCTCTGTTCTCTACTCTACGAATTATGTTTCAAGTATTTAGATATTTGAAATACTTTTTAGAATTTACGTTCCGTACATTTGACACATCGAATGAGTTAGAAAACAAAATGATAAAGAAAACAAAATTTTCGGGCTTTTTTCTATTGACTTTATTTTTGTTTTTTATAATTATATTATTTCAGGTAAATATCGTATAATTGATCAAATAACTTTTTTAGTGTTTTACAAACCATGCAATTAAATTACTTAACAAAAATACTTACGTTACTAAGATCAGATGGCCCGATATAATTTTTTAGTAGATTTCATAGAAATCTAACTATTGCAATGGTCCTCATGACAAAACTTTTGAAAAATTTTGCTATATTCCGACATAACTCGACGAGCTGAGTCAGAAAATACATATAGTTCAAAAGTTTATATATATTATCAAAAATTTATATATATATTATAAGTATTATATATATATATATATGATATAACGCCGCTTGTCACCACGATAGCGTCGCCAATTTACAATGGATCTTTATCAAACTCAACATACTTATTCTACAGATAGATACCGAGGTCAAGTTCGAAGATGAGCTTAATCGGTCAAGTAATTTAGAAATGCCATGATTTTAAAATTTTCAAAATCATAAAAATTAACATTTCTCCATTTTCGTCCTTCAATAACTTTTGAATGGGATAATTTATCGAATTTCTGTAAATTGCATCTGAAAGCTCTTTAAATAAGCTTCAATTTGAGTACCATATCATATGTGTAGTCCCAAAATTATGTCCTATTCCGCTATGCCAATTATGAAATTTGCTATTGCACTTGTTTTTTTTTGTTTTTTTTTTCTTTACTGTACACCAGCAGTATGTAAACAAATAACGAGTTAGGGTGAAATAAGGTTTTAATCGCCGGTTTACTAGAAATCCATTATTTTTTTCTATTTATGATGAAATCTACTTCCATTTCGACTGCCGAATGGTCTTTTTTAATTATAATTTAGCTAATTTAATTACTTGTAAAGAATAGTTTTTGAAACTATTTATGAAACAACTTTTTTTTTTAATTTAAACAAATTGGGTGTCATCTGCTCTTATCAATATTATAAGATTTTATTTGAAATTATTAGATCAACTTTACTTCATTTCAAGATAAAAAAGTAACCAACTCCTCAGGTAAATATATTACTTTAAAAATACTAAATAATAATTTTTTTTTTTTTTTATCAGAATGATAAAATTCAAGATAAAGTAAATCAATTTTATAAACTATCTCTGATGATTAGAGAAAAAAAATTAAAAGAATTGACAACGTAAATTCTCCTTGATAAAATTAATTCATAAGTAATGAAAATATTTAAAAGTATTCAAAAAATTCAAATTTCATTATTTCTAATTTTTATTTAATTCGTTTTTTTAATCATGGACCAGAAGTACCCGTTCACTTCGCTGGTTTAAACTTGAAAAGTTTTTTGTTTAAGGATAATAAAGGATATCCGGATAAAATTACGTCCCAAAATCGCAAAAATTGGCCCTAAAAGTCAATTTTGATACAAGCCGTCCTCCATGAACGATTTCTTGTAAAATTTTAATGTATTTGTAAATAATTTAAAAGGTCATTCAAAAATCAAATTATTTTACTCTTTGATATTTCTATAATGCTTTCCTCCTGATTTGATTTTCTTCAAGGCTTTATTTTTCGGAAATACTTCTTTAATTTATAATAAATAGATAGATTTGTAAAACATATATCAATATAGCTTAAACAAATTTAAATCTGTTAGGCTTACTACTAAAAGTTAAAATAATTATTATAGACACACGCACCCTAGAAAGAGTAGTTTTTCTTTGGGACTACTATATTTTTCACTAATAATACTTGGCTGAATTGATTTATGCCTACATAAATTGAAACTTTGATATATACATACCATATTTTGATTTAAGCTTTATTTTATCTAAAATCAAAAAGGTTTTATGTAGGGCTGTACAATTTAGCCGGTTAAGCCGGCTAAAAAGGTAGCTAAGTTAATTAGCTAACTATGTATGTTTTTTTTGTGTTGATTATCATTTTTAAGTTGAAATTTATTCAAAATATTAAGTTGATTTAATTTATAAATGATTATAAAAAACGAATTTTTGAAAACAGTAATAAAAATGGGTTAAAAAATCAAAGATATTAGAATCTCATCTTGAATAATAGCTTAAAAAATTTGTTTTGTAGTTTAGTAAAACATGTTTTTTCAAAAAAAAAAAAAAAAAGTCAAAAATGTTTCTTCAAAAATTCTTCAAAAAAACGCAAAATTTTAGTTTAAAATTGGAAAAAAAATTACAAAAATTCACTTTTTTCATACTTTTTTTTTTGAAAACTTTTCTCAAATGTTTCAATACAAAAAAATATGACTTCATAAATTTAAAACTATGATGGATTGATTACAAGTTATGAATTTTCGAACTTAATATACCACTATTTTCTTGAAATTTACAAAAATTCATATCTTTAAAACTTATGGAGATTAAGGGCTAACAATTCACAGGTACGCGTCTTCTGATACATACAAAAAATGTCAAGCATTCAGTTAAATAAAAAAATATGATTTTTAAAATTAGGAATGGAACATCGCACATACTAGATATTATATAGTAGACATCGCTACCATTTTTTTTTTTTTTTTTTATCATAAAAAAACATTAATATTATTTTTTAAACTTGTCCGTGAATAAGAACCCATAAAATAGCAAAAAAGAAAATTAGCCTTTTAGCCGGTTAGCCAATTAGCGAAGCTAATTTACTTAACTGGTTAAATTAGCTAAGCTGATCCGTTAGTTATCTAATTAATTTAGCTAACTTCTAGCCGGCTTAACCGACTAAAGTGTACAGCCCTAGTTTTATGGTTTATTCGATTGACAGATGTACCAATTATTCTATGGTGGACACCTTTTGGTTCTGATGAAGAATTCAGAAAATGTGGAAATGTGAAATGTTTTTTCACCAATAATCGTTCTGTAATAACTAATTCTCAGCTTAAGGTATGATTATTATTAAAATCATAATTATTACAGTCCTGGTGGATCTGAGTTACGGTAGAGAGTTAGAATAGAATTACAAAAAATTCGTGATTGAAGGAGCGATTTCTTTGAAATTTGATATTTTTTCAAAAGATAATAAAAAATGTCACAAATTTAATGAAATCAAGAATCAAAATTTTTCATTGTCTGAATTGGCGTAGAGTGGCTTTTTTCATATTATATAAATTTAAACCAAATTATTATTACAATATTAAGTATTATAAAATTCGAGAAAATTACTTTCTCTAATAATATTTGATTGCACTTACATCCATCATTGAATGTAATTCTAAAAAATTTTAATTTCTAACAATTTATTTATTTATTTATTATTATTATTATTATTATTATATTATCAATAGCAATGTAAAGTCACAATCTTTATTTCTATAACTAGGCTATTTTATTTTATGGTAGTAACATAGAATTAAATGATTTACCTCTTCCAAGACAAGTTAATGTAATTTGGGGCTTACTTCATGAAGAATCTCCTCGAAACAATTTAATATTAGTTCATAAAGAAGCAATTCAATTATTTAATTACTCATCAACATTTAGTAGATTTAGTGATCTACCTATCAGTTTAGTTGATTTACCTAATGAAGACGAGTTAACAGGTACTTATCAAGTAATTTAATTAAAAATTTTTCTTCGCTTAAAATAATAATAATAATGAAACATGTTTTTCTTTCTTTATTTAAAGGAAATAAATATTTTTTATCTACGATGGAAAAGTCACGATTGATAAAACAAAAAAAATTAGCACCAGTATTATTTATTCAATCCAATTGTGATACAATGAATGGCCGTGATTTGTATGTTTCTCAATTAATGAAACTAATTTCTATAGACTCATATGGAACTTGTATCAATAACAAACATTTACCAAAACAATTAAAAGAAAATTATCTCAATCATCTCGACAGTGATGAATTTCGGAAATTCGTTGGACAATATAAATTTACTTTGGCAATTGAAAATGCTGTTTGTGAAGATTATATCACAGAAAAGTTATGGAGACCTTTGATTGTCGGATCAGTACCAATATATTATGGTTCACCATCGTTCAAGGTATTATTTGACAATCGTTCGAAACCCCAATAATTTAATAGATATAACTAATTGATTTGATTTACCATAGGATTGGCTACCAAATAATAATTCAGCAATATCTATAAATGATTTTGAAGATCCCAAGAAACTTACAGAGTACTTAAAAGAGCTTATAAATGATGATGTACAATATAATAGTTTTCTAAAGCATAAACTTTTAAAAGATAGCATCACTAATAATCGTTTACTTGATATTTTACAAAAAAGGCCGAATGATCTTTTTAATATATTTGATTATTATGTTAAAGAATTTGAATGTCTTATTTGTAGAAACTCGATATCTCAAAATTCCCATCATAAAGTAACAAAAAAACATTATAATTGTTCCAAGCCAAAAAATCTGTACAAGAATGGAAAAAAAAATCAATGGACAGATATGTGGGAAATCGAATCTTGTGCTGCCAAACTTTTATATCAGTCAGTGACCCACAATAAAACAATTGAACTTGATAAGTTTGACAAAGAAAAATTAAAAATGTTTCAAAATAATAAGTGTAATTAAAAGAGATTCATTTATTAATCAACAAGTCTTTTGTTGATTAATAGATAATTAGATAAGTCAAAAAAGAATTATGTAAATTTCAAGTTACCTAAATTTACTACAACTATCTATGAATTATCATTTGTAGTTACTTGCATTCGTCTTTGGGAAGAATTACCAAACGATGTGATAAATGCTCCCAGTATAGAAATTTTTAAAAATAAGCTTTATGATTACCTTTTTAATCTAGACATCTAAATCTAAAATAAATTTACAGTTAAATCTTTAAAATTTTTAAAATTATTAAAATTAAAATCTTTAAAATCATAATCATAAATATTGTAATCTATTAGTTTTCATTTTCACTTAAATTGTTTCTTCAATATTAGTATATAAGCAATATTACTTCTTCTAATATCTTATTATGTATAATTATATATAAGTTATAATTATTATGTTTAAATCAAAAAAATTTTAAAATTTAAATTTAATTTTTATTGTATTCACAAAATGTATATTTTTTTATTGCCATCTGGCCAGTGAAGGCTTTGGCATAAATCAATAAATTCAATTCAATTCAATTCAATTCTTTTATTCTGCTTGTATTAAAAATTTATGGTAACTGGTATTAATAAGTAAAAAATTAACAGTACATTATGCAGTAAATTTTCAAATTATATAGATTAACTATCATTATTTTCCTTCATTTTAATTGGTGGATTTACATCTGCCAATTTACAAAAGTTATTTCTAATCGGTCTCAAAGTATCTGGTGATTTACCCCAGTCTGTTTCATTTAACCCGGATAATATTTCGCTCAAATTATCTTCTTTTATATCCATATCTTCTCCATATAAAGTCAATGCCTCATATAAGCGAAGAGCTGTTGTTTTTCGGATTACTTGAAACTTGTTGCAAAGTAAAATACTCAATTGAACAAAAGCTTGTTTCCCAACTGATCCTTTAGCCTAAATTGAAAAAAAAAAAAAAATTGTTTATAATTAGAGTTTTTATTTATTTACGAGATTAAATAAATTTATTATCATACCTGTAATAGTTGACAAAACACATTGATCGTACTCATAATTAATTTAGTATTAGTCATGAATTGTTTTTCTCTCTTAACTAACGTCAACATACGTTTTGGTAGTTGACTTTGAGTATTATCTAAAATACTTTGAATGCATCCAGAACTGAGAAGTCGGTCTAAAAATGTTAGGATGGATTTTATCATTCGTTCGTTCCCATGACTTTTATCAAAAATATTTAACATTTCACTAAATAATTGTTGAAGCCGTACTTCATCAATTTCATTTAGGTAAGAAAACAACGAAGTACTTGAATGTTTCACTAAAGATTCACTTAACCCTCCAACACTAAATATAATACCACGTAAAATATTTTCTATGTATGGTTGATAATTTAACATTTTAATGAAGCGAGGAAATGTATCAAGTTCAGTCATCCAATTCATATTATCTTTACATTCATTTTGAGGAAAAATTTTTTTCAATTCATCATGATGTGGAATGTTGGGTATTTCTGGAACATGGTATAAAAGAGTATAAAAAATTTTTCCTGCTTGAATTCGAGTCCTGTCAATACGTTCTATAGCCTGTTGAGCTATTTCACCGATTATTTGAGTCATCAACGATTCGCTGAGAAATGTAATGAGTTTTGATTGTGAAATTGAAGTTGTTAATTCATAAAGACCAACCATAGCAGCTTCACGTACCCATGCTCCTATATCACCTCGACTGTCGACAGTGTATTCTTTCATCGCAAATAAATAACATTCATAAAGTTTTAAAATAAAACTCTGAAACTTATCATTTTCAACATGTAAATTTTTAATTATCATTGTTATTGATTGTAATGAATTTTTTCTACTTTCAGCCCATTGAAAAGTTTCTTTCGTAAAATGTGAACAATCAATAAGTGCTGTTAAAATATCTTCTAATTTTTCAAGTAGTATAAATGTAGGAAAATATCCAATGGCTTGTGCGAATCCAATTCTTTGATTTTCATGATTTGATTTTAAATTATAGAGATAACGTTCAACAGCTGTATGTCGTTTTTCCTTACTTTTATAATTATCTTCATAATATTCGGTAAAAAAGTGTGTATGCGCTTCAGCAGCTTTTAGCTTAACAATAGACACTTCGTGATTTAAGCAATCTTCAAGAAAATCTTGCCATTCATCAACAATAGACGATGAATGAATTGGAAAATGCACTAGAGAACTTTTTCTAATAAAAGTACAACATGCTTGTTTCATTAATTCACCACCTAAACCTTTAAATTGCCCTCGAGTTTTAAATAAACCAATAATTTTTTTATATTTCTCTAACTCTGTTATACTTATAATACTAGCAATATCTTGATTAAAATGTAAATATAGAGCCTCAATAATTTCAGCAATTGCCAAAACAGATCCATGTCTTACATTTAAATCAATGGAATCCAACGAGTCACTTAGAATGGGTAATACAGTTTTTATCATGTATTTTGGATTGAGAGGTGTTAAATTGTACAGCGCTTTGGCAGCTATTTCTCTTATTGTTGTGTCCCAATGATTAATTTTGCGTTGAGTTAAATGGTCTATCATTGGAATGGTATACTCTTCATACTGGCAAATATGAACGCTGACTTTAAGATAAGCTTGGTTTCTTGTACCGACTTCGAAGTAATCAGCAACTGTTACAATATCTATTCCATGGGGAAAATTACCTTGTCGGCCGACGTTTTCTTGAAAAGCTGCAGAAGCAGCACGCCGACAATTTATTTCTCTATCGAAACAAGCGACCATTAATAAAGTGGCAGATATTTTTTGAACATAAGGTTGAATTATATGTGGCTCAAAGGCACGGGCAAAAGACCAACAGACATAGCAAGCTGCGTCACGAATCGCTGACCCTAAAGAGCCATTTACTCTGGGTTCATCAAATAGTAATGCTTTAACAATTACTGGAATGACTTCACTCAATCGATGTGGCAATAAAAGCCCTCTTCTTCCTAATTCAGCTAGAGCAAGACATCCTCCATGCCAAGCTGAGTCCAATTCTCGGTCAGAAAACAAATTTAGAACAAAACCAACTACTTCATCAGCTAAATCAACTGGTAATCGTGACGTTATTTTGCCAATGCCTTTTGCGGCTAACCATCTAATGTCAATAGATTTATTTCTAAGACCTTGAATTAAATGTTCAATTATTTCTTCGAGAACTGTTGGTACATCTTGATCATCATTGTCAATTGTCACGCTATTATTCACATCAATATTTTCGATTATAGGATACTTCTGGATATCTGATAATAGATTTATTTTTTGCCCAGATTTTTGATACTTCCAAGTCGCGAATTTCGGTTTTAACAACACAAGTCCTACACGTTGTATAATTTTAATTGCGTATTTACCTATTAAACTGTTCGGACTTTTTAAAAAATTTAGTTCTATAACATTATCAAATAAGATTTGACAATAAGGCTTTAAATCATCTCGAGAATTATGTTTTAACATTGATGCTAAAACTGCCAAAGGTCCGTAACTTAAAGGGTCATTTCTTAAACATTTTAAACACCACATTATCATTTCTTCTAAATACAGTTTTTTGACATCGGATCGAGTGAGAAAACTGGATACTAGAAACACCGCTGCAACTAAACATGAATCTTTGACCAGGCAATAACGTTTACATAACTCTAAAATTCTCACGAGAATAGTTTGTGATGGATCCACTGAACTCGAAGTCTCCAATCGAGATAATGGGAAAGGAATTTTAGAAATTATTGAAAGCCATATAAGAAGAACATATCTCGTTTCCCAAGTAGATAAATCAGTAGGATCTTGCTTTTCTAACATTCTTAAAACTGGCAAGAGATCTATTACCTGAAACATAATTTAAAAAATGGTAAGAGAAGTTTGAACCACAATAAGAGAAAAAAATTACAGATTTACGAAAAATTGTTTATAAGATTTAGAAAGTAAATATTTCTTTAAATAAAATGTATATCTATTGATATCTGTTGCTTTATTTTCATTAAATATTACTTTCTTGAAAAAAAAAATTCCCATTGCTACTTCAAGTACAAATTTGCTTGTAACTGGAAATTATTTTTCTCAGTGGTTCGCAATCATTATATTTGTTTTTTTTTTTTTTTTTTTTTTTTTTTTTTTTTTTTACCTCATGAGGAAGATAAGTAACGAGTCTTTTATACGTCTTCACACTCATTAAAAGAAATAAGTATTTAAAAGCATTATTTTTCATGTCATCTGAAGTTGATACGTCTGAAACGACAGCCAAAATTTTTCCAATAATATCTTCCAAAAACGGATCAAGTAGATGAGGTTGGTCTTGGTATTGAGAGACGATAAACTTAAATTTTTCAACATTTTTCTCTATTATGCTGTGAGGTAAATCTGAAATTCTAAGTTGGTTTATTAAATTATTTATTTCTCTACTTTCTTTGAAAGAATTAAAACCACATCCAGTTATTTCGGTATCAGAATTTTCATTTATCGTCATGGTGTTGAATTAGTTACAATTGAATTATTTGTACGCTTAAATTGATATTGATATTGATATTTAAATCATTCAACTTATTATTTTTCTCTAAGAATTTAAATATTAAAATTTTTGTTGTAAACAAAAGACTCAGAATATCAACTGAACATGGCGCACGCATAATCCGAAACTGCAAATATTTTGATGGAAAATTTACCACTTCTTCATCGTATGTGTGCCATGTAACTACTCCTTTAGCCGGTTAATTAGCTGGCTTATTACAAAAACTGTCAATTCACAAGCTCACATTCAATTTTTCTCTGTTTATTGTCACGTCATCTAGGATTATGACAATAAAAATGAATAAATAAAGATCTCTGGGTTTTCTCTAGTTTCGTAAAGAATATTCCAAAACGTTCGGTATCTTATTCTAAGTGACCATTACAATTACAAGCGTAAGTTTATTTTAACAAGGAAATTTTTCTCAGAATGTCTAGACTAACTGCACGGCACTTAAAAGTTTTTATGTTTTCCCTTGGGAGTTTCCGGTAATTATAAATTCGTCTATACCCTAAAATTTATAATAGAAAAATTCCCATACTTGACAATAGAATTTAAAATAGAAAGGTTTACGACATTTGAAAGATTCTTATTTCTCTTACTAATACTATTACAAATAAATACATATTTTAAATCTTACTGGGTTTTTCCCGCTATCATTCATTGCAGCCATCTTTTTATACGTAATTCTATGTTAATATACAGAGAGCGTTGTGATCAATCCTTTCGGATTCACAACACCTTCCCCCTTATACGAAAAAAAAAATTTGAAAAAAAATTTTTTTTTTTTTAATTTAGGTAGAAATTTTATATAATCTATCATAAACTATGCATTATGTAAATACGTTTACGTAAGAAATTCTATAGCTAGGTTGTATTTCTCCAAAATTTGTCGATATCGCGATTTGTGTTGTAATTATACGAATAGTAATCTTCTCATTATACTACAGGTTTCTATTGCATGAGTCATAGTACGAAATCTTATCGATTGTTATACAAACGAATATTATTGCTCGCGAGTTCACTCTGAAAAGATGTCCGTGGACTTTTCGCTAGTTATAGTTATTCAAAAAAAAGAAAGGCTAACGTTGCTACCTAAAGTTTACACATCATCGTGATTATAAGTTAGTAGACGATCATGACAAAAAATTTAAATCTCATGATTTGTGAATACAAATAAAATAATAATTATCGATGTAAGTAGGATAGAAATAATTAGCTTCGTCAGAGGTTTTGAAAAATTTTTTCTTTCAGTATTTTACTTCATTAAAGTCAGATAATTTACTGTCTCAAATTTGGAGCTCGTCTGAGGGTCGGGAAACACTTCTCGCTTTCTCTTTATACCAAATAATTTTAAAACCTTTTTATCATACCCCGCAGCACCTCCTTGGATCGGTATCAACCCGGTTATCGGTGATGAGGGACCGTTCACCTCCAAGGCTGCCACTACGGTGGTATTACAAACCTTCTTATCATACCCCGCAGCACCTCCTTGGATCGGTATCAACCCGGTTATCGGTGATGAGGGACCGTTCACCTCCAAGGCTGCCACTACGGTGGTATTACAAACCTTCTTATCATACCCCGCAGCACCTCCTTGGATCGGTATCAACCCGGTTATCGGTGATGAGGGACCGTTCACCTCCAAGGCTGCCACTACGGTGGTATTACAAACCTTCTTATCATACCCCGCAGCACCTCCTTGGATCGGTATCAACCCGGTTATCGGTGATGAGGGACCGTTCACCTCCAAGGCTGCCACTACGGTGGTATTACAAACCTTCTTATCATACCCCGCAGCACCTCCTTGGATCGGTATCAACCCGGTTATCGGTGATGAGGGACCGTTCACCTCCAAGGCTGCCACTACGGTGGTATTACAAACCTTCTTATCATACCCCGCAGCACCTCCTTGGATCGGTATCAACCCGGTTATCGGTGATGAGGGACCGTTCACCTCCAAGGCTGCCACTACGGTGGTATTACAAACCTTCTTATCATACCCCGCAGCACCTCCTTGGATCGGTATCAACCCGGTTATCGGTGATGAGGGACCGTTCACCTCCAAGGCTGCCACTACGGTGGTATTACAAACCTTCTTATCATACCCCGCAGCACCTCCTTGGATCGGTATCAACCCGGTTATCGGTGATGAGGGACCGTTCACCTCCAAGGCTGCCACTACGGTGGTATTACAAACCTTCTTATCATACCCCGCAGCACCTCCTTGGATCGGTATCAACCCGGTTATCGGTGATGAGGGACCGTTCACCTCCAAGGCTGCCACTACGGTGGTATTACAAACCTTCTTATCATACCCCGCAGCACCTCCTTGGATCGGTATCAACCCGGTTATCGGTGATGAGGGACCGTTCACCTCCAAGGCTGTCACTGCGCCGGTATCTTTATCTTTCTTTTCCGAGCAAATGTTCCCGAATACCTTTCCCTTTAAAGTTGTCATTCGTCTTCGAGGTTTATATACGTAACTATTTCTATTGTTCAATAATCATTTTAAAATATGTGAATCGTCTACGACCTCCTCCGCGTCACATTCAGTTTTCTCCTGCGCATGAGGAAACTGAACGGATTAATTCTTGAGCCATTGACTCCGATGTACGTATAAAATGACAGTCAGCGTCGGATTCTGCGAACGATATCTCATCTGCGCAGACAAGCATCTTTCACAATACCCTAAGGCTGTCATTGTTTTAATTATTATGATCCCGGACGGAGAAGAGCAGTATATAGAGAAATCGAAAAATATAATATTTTACAATAAAGAGTACGAGTGAATATTCGTCAGTTACAAATATTTTCCTGAATTCAGACGATGATTTTGGCAATTGATTTCCTGAACTATACTGTGAGATGGTGGTTACCCTCAGACTTTCTACATTCAACATCTAGAGCTCGTAAGAAGATTGCACTACTAATCTTCCGAGATAGATACCGTCTCTTCAACATACATATAATCAACTTGTTGAATCCAAACTCCCGATGAATAGTGAGTTCATCGAGCAGATCAAAAACTAATCAGCTCTTAATCTTGAAAAACCACGTCGATCACCGTTGGACCGATCAAAATCGGTTAATTCGTACGTGAGATATCGAAAACGAAAAATTTCAAAAAAAATATTTTTTCAAAAAATCTCTTAAATGGCTTCACCAATCACTTCCAAAAACTAATTAGCTCTTAACCTTGAAAAACCACGTCGATCACCGTTGGACCGATCAAAATCGGTTGATTCGTTCGAGAGATATCGTGAACGAAAGAAAACCGAAAAAAGTGTTTATTCGGGATTACTCCGAAATTTTCGGTTCGATCAATTAAAACCTGAAAATCACTTATGAGAATGATAAAACTGCGTCGAATGGCGCCAACCCCGTGAAAATTGGTTGATCCATTCAAAAGTTATTGCGGTTTGAAAATTCCAAAAATAGTGTTCTACGAAGTTTCTATCAGACTTTTGAGCTGGGACAGCTCAAATGCATAGAAACATTATTTCTTTGAACTCAGCAAGCTCAAAATATCACATAAATTAATTTTTGAGCTTAAAAATCTCAAAAATGTCATAAGTACAATTTTAAGCGCCCAGGAATGGAATTAGCGGGAAGTTGCACGGATGGCCTTTAGGGTGAACCGTTTTTCTAATTTTTTTAATTGAGTCGTTATCGTAGGAAATTACTTTTCCAATTCTGTTGAAAATGCGCTCACGTGACCTCATACCGAACTTTTGATATCACTTCAAACCTATCAGATGACATACTTTATGTTTACATATCCTACACATAATTATGTACTGAAAATAACTAATGCTAGTGAATTTTAGTACATTTTTTCATGTTCAATATTAATTATTTACAATAATATCTGAAATTATAAGGTGAATTGATTAAGTATGACTAATTGGATATACTTTTTTAATGCTATTTTTATAATTTTAATAATATTGATTGCATTTGAAATTTATACACATTATGAAATCTATTTTCTGTCGTAAGTTTTAATAAACTTATTATGTTTTTTTAGATTTTAATTTTAATTTAATATAAAAATATAATCATTTAGAGATTGAGACAGTTGATACAAACTTTATTAGTGGGCTGAGGAGTCATGTATAACTGACCTAAACTTACAACTTTCAAATGTTGAATAAATTCAAACAAGTCAAATGTCTCGGTATTCGGATAAAAATAAATTTTTTTTACACCTTGCATGACATGGAATCCATTTTCGGAAAATCTTCCAGATCTATAACTTGAAAAATCAAACCATACAAATAGCTGAATTCCGCAGAGGGATTGAAGAGTAACTTTATAGTCAATAGAATCGAAGGATACGATCATTTCACAAGCTGGTAAGTCGAAATTTTTGAGGGCAGAAGGATAAATATAATTAGTTGGTGCTATCTGTTTTCCATCATGGTCTTTCAAATTCATATCAATTATACAATTCTTTTTCGCTTCAATTAAGGTAGCACCGCAAGAGGCATTTGTGAGTGTGTCTTCAAGGTTTACCGTTGATAATTCATAAGCTATATTTGCATTAATAGTAACATTGTTGAATTTTTGGGTAATAATGTTAGAAAATCTTTCTTTCTGTACTTTGTGGACATTGATTTCGACCGAACAATTATACCTCGGATTCAATTCATCGGAAACAATAAATATTGTTATATCATTAGTTGGTAATAATCTTGGACTTATAATGATCGGTGCGAAAAAATTCTGAGCAAAATAATGAAGTATTTTCCAGCGGCCCCCTTCGTCAATTGATGACCATGAAGGTGCGGGCCAAACATCATTTAGTTGCCAATAAAGTGCGCCCATTGTATTACCTTCACCCGAGTCATAAATATAACTTTTGGCTTGGCGATATGATTCTGTTTGTACTTTAACAGATTGGGCTTGATTTATTTGACTTAAATAAATATAATTATCAAAATAATTTAGTGCATCAGTGGTTTCGGGAAGTTTAAAATTTTTTGTTATCAGCGATTTCATAAATTCACATCCACCCGGCAAATGTTGACGATGTCGCAAAAATTGCGAATCTATAGTTAAATCTTTTAAATTATTGACTACAGTTTTTAAACTGTAAATTGATGGCAACGATTGGAAACCATACTCTGACGAAAACCGTGGGCGAGGATAAATATTAATATCCCATCCATTAGCTAAATAATTATAATAGTGAATGTCTCCATAAAAAGTAGAATATGGATCTGTTCCAATCCAACCATTCTGATCTGCCCAGTCTCCATTACTGGGACTTGATACGACAAAAGGACGGGTGGAATCTAATTTTTTAACTTCTGATTTTATTAAATTTACGTACAGTTCAATGTAATCATTTTTGTAAATTTTTTGCGTTCCAGTGCCATACCAATTTCCGTATAAAGCTGCTTCATTTTCGTTATTCCCTGCCCAAATAACGATTGATGCATGGGATTTGAGTCTCCAAACATTCTGCTTGACTTCCTCTTTTACTGAAGCTAAAAATTCAGGTGTAGTTGGATACATAGAGCAAGCAAACATGAAGTCTTGCCAAATCATCAATCCTAATTCATCAGCTAAGTCATAAAAAAAATCAGACTCATATACACCACCGCCCCAAACTCGAAGCATATTCATATTAACTTGTTTTGCTGATTCCAAAAGATACCTTGCGTATGTCTGATTCGATGATTTACTTGGATACATACTCATTGGTATAAAATTACTACCTTTTGCGAAAATTGGAATCTCATTAATTTGAAAATAAAAACTCAAACCTTTTTTTAAAGGTTCCTGAACTAACTTAACTGTTCTAAAACCAATACGTTTTTTACGTATTTGTACACCACTTTTGGTTTTTAATTTCGTTGTTATATTATAAAGAGTTTGAGAGCCATAACCGTTTGGCCACCAACGATGTATTTGACTCTGAAATTAAAATTAACGATTATTATCTTGAGATTCATTTTTGAAGAGAGCATTTCTTTTTAGACATTTAAAGATCTATCTTCTTTATCTTTTCGAAATATCGCCATGCATGTAAGATTAGTCGATGGAAGACACTGTCATACCTTAATACTGACCAATCGTATATATATATATATATATATATATATATATATATATATATTTATGTAAAGTCATAAATAATTTTATTAAAGTATGCATCACTCTTGGCCTAGACAAAATATATACCCAATATTATAGTAAAATACTAAGGCATTATTTTGAGATACATATATGATCAAATTCGTTAGAAGAGAATTATAAATTTCATCAACAAGATAAAAGTTAAGAAAATTCAAAAGTTCAAATTGTACACGCTCATTCTCTTAAAAATCGAAAAAAAAACCCTTGACAAAATTGAGAGAAAAACAATAAAGATTAATAGATAAGAAACAAATTTAAAAATAATATTAGAAAGTTCAAAATTCCAGAAATCAAAATATAATCAATATTGTATATTGTTTCTAGAATTTTTGTTTTTGGTAATTATCCAGAAGTAGAGAGCTCCACCTTTTTTGAGATAAAATTGAAAAGTAATAAAATATCGAAAAATGGATCTTTCTGGATATTTTTTTTTTTAATTGTTCTTCTTCACGGCGGATTTATGATAAAAAGTATGAAAATTGAATATTTTGGAGATTTTTTTTTCATTTTAAGTTCAAAAATTTACGAATTAAAAAATTTTCAAATTATGATCTTCTGAATTTTTTTTTCTAATTTTATCCTATTTTTATCGCTCTTTAAGAAAAAAAATATTTCAATAACTGGAAAAAATAGTATCGTCACCATTAAATTAAAAAACACCTAAAATCAAATATTCAAAAAGATCAATTTTTCGATTTTTTACACTCAAAAATAGGTGGAGCCCCACTTCTGCATAATTACTTAATCAACTTTTATCAATATCTTTTGAACGGTTATCAAAGGTGACAGTGAAACACAATAAAGTAGTGCATCCTAAGGATAAATAAAAAACTTGTTTGAAAAGATTTATCTTAATCCGTTGCATATTTTTTCTGGAAAGAGAGTATATTTAAAAGAAAAAGATTGAGTGGGCTTGTCATAAATTTCAACAAATTAATTTCTTAGAAATAAACTCATACCGAATCAAAATTCATCAATTCATTAAAAAAAAATCATATTATCATTAAGATATCTTAATCATTAAGATATCTTACCATATGGTAAGAAATAGTTTTTTTTTCAATAACATTTTTTGAGTTCGAGATTAGCTGAAATATGCATAAAGAAATAGCTTGAAGACTGAATAGTTTTTCAAATTTTTAAACCTTTAAAAAGAAATACTCCCTTTTATTAAATTTATTATTATCATCATACCTCAAGAACATCTAAAGATATAGATTGCTGTTGACTATTGAGCAGATTAATTGTTTTTGAGTTATTTAAATAAGAACTATTTATTTTTAAAATGATCGATAATTCACATTGAATCGGCTCACTTGGATTAATGAGAGCTACTTCGAGAAAAACAGTTACATTTATTCTCCAGTTCGTCTTATTAATTTCATACAAATCTACTGTATGATCCAATATTACAGCATCTTGCACTATCATAAGATCGACATCACGCCAAATTCCACTAGTAGGTATCGCTGGACCCCAATCCCAACCGAAGCTTGCTTGCATTTTACGAATATGATTGACATGACACTCGCCATGATATGTTTTTGGAACACATTTTGGATAAACTATGTATTTTTTACTATGATTATAATATAAATCTTTAGCTAATTTCATCGAAGATTCAATTATTACCATCAACTTATTACTTGAGCTTGTATTATTTGTTATGTAATCTTTAATATCAAAAACATATCGTGTAAACATATTATCCGTTTTGCCGATTTTGTGACCATTAAGTTCTATTTTAGAAAAAGTATCGATTCCATGAAAAATGAGTAAAAGCTTCTGAGCCTGAAGCATATTCAAGGTTGATGGGAATTGACTTCTAATTAAAAAGGTGCTATTTCCAACCCATCTATTTTTTATATCATTCTCATCAATAAAAGTATTATTAATATATTGTTGTTCTTCAAGAAAAATATACGATTCGACAGGGACCATCACGTTAGAACCTTGAAAAATAATTAAAATCAATCCTTAACTTTATTCTTTATAACTGGAATTCGAATAAAATTTACATTAAACAAAAACTTCTTATGTATTTTTAAAGTTAATTGAAATTGAAAATAATAATTATTGATATTTATTTTATTCTGAAAAATAGGAAACATTATGATATATAATATTCATATTGATAACATTCTGTTACACGTAGAATGTAAAAATTTATACTTTAGTTATAAAAGAAAATTTTTATAAATTTACAAGAATCACTTTATCGAAAATTTATAAAACTGTAGGATTTTAAATTAAATACATATTATATGTGGTAAAAAAAACTATCGCTTATTTATCTTCTAACAATTATATATATTTAATATTTTTACTATACTTTTTTGGATAGACAAAAAATAATATGTATTAAATAGTTATTTAATAGTTATAATCATCTCTATTGGATACATCATGTATTTTTTTTTTTTCTACAAATATAAATTTATTAATAAATAAAAGTGTGGGTATCACCTCGGAGATATGTAAAAAGTAAGAATAATGCTTGTCTGTAAGGGATCGAAAGAGAGAAATGAAAAATAAACCAAATCTATTTATAAGATTTTAATAAAAATAATGAATTAAGAAAAAAGTCATAAAGTTTGTGTTGAAATCTTACCGAAATTCTCTATATTTGCATACCACTGAAAATTGAAGTCGCTACACATCGAAAACTTAAAAATACCGACTAGTATTGAGAAATATGAAAATTTTTCCATTTTTAAGTTCATTTAATATTATGGTTTAACTAATATCAATATAAATACAGAAAATCCTAAGCTACTGTTATTTTTGGCAAAGTAATATATAATCTCCAAGCTAACCTAGAAAAACATTGTCTCATATACCTATCTCTAATATGTGATAAATCCTCTTTCCAAGATAGCTTATCTGTTGCTGTTGTACTATCAATTTTATCAGTATAGATATATTTTTGAAAATTAAATAAAAAAACAAAATTTATTGGTAGCGAGCTTCAACTAAATTTTAACAATTTATTTTTATGTTATAATATTAATTGGAATAGATAACACTTTAACAAATTTTTTTGGAATAAAAATTTTTCATACTATAAAATGATAAAAAATTTGAATAGTACTAGACATCTCTCAAAATCATAGAAATGCTTTTATTTTACAAAAAGTCGCTGTCATAAATAATTTTCATAGAATATATTAATTATGATAAAATACTACACAATAACATAAAAATAAAATAATAAAGCGAGCAAAATAAACTGACTTTAAAAATTCGGAATGCTTAATTCAAGTATTATTTAAGACTTATTACACACACTATCAAGTACAAAAAAATATTACTTTGATAAATTTTTATTTTTTTTAAATATAAATCATTAAAGATAATTAGAATAAAAATATTATTTGAAAAAAATAGTGGCATTTTTTAAAAATAAAGTTAATTGCTTATTTGATATGGATTATTATAAAATTATTGATATTTTCACCAGTAAAATCTATAGTGAAAGGTTCATTATCACAAAATAATTTGATGTGAAATATAATATTAAAACAAAATAGTAATTTTTTTTCTTTTATTCATTTTGGAATATATATTATTCATTGGTTGAAACATTTTTATCCGGAACAAAATATTAAGGCAGAGTACTTTTAAATTTAAATAACAAAAACTAAAGCATAAATTTTTAATCTTAAATGTTAATTAGGATATAATTTAGGTGTTTATCAAACTTGTTGAGATATTTTTTTATTTAATTGCTTATTTAGCGTTTTCTTTTTCTACTTGATTGATCAGACATTGATGATGTGGGCTGGACAGTCATAGACGTCGTTGGTTTTTTATTACTCACAGTATCTAAGCAATAAGATTTAAATTTAATTATTTGAAAGCCAATTATAGCTATAAATAAAGGTTACCTTGGTCATTAAAATTCTGATCACATTCATATGAGCAATGCGTTTCAAAAATTTTAATGTCTCTTGTTCTAAAGTTGTTACAGTTTTGACAGATTAGTAATGGTGGCGAAGTTTTACTCACTTCAGAATTTTCTTCGCTTTGACTACCATGCTTTTGTACATTATCAGAAATTGAAGCACATTGATCAGCATGAGACTCTATTTTATTGGGAGTAAAATATTTATTACAAAGTGGGCATTGAACATTTTTGTATCCAGTAGAAGTATCTTCATCTGAACTTATCTCTTCTTTTCCCTAAAATAATATTTACGAAAATATTTATGACTAAAACATTATTTTATGACAATATTTTGCTGTAAATAATAAAACTATAAAATCTTTGTTTATAATTAGCAGAAAATTTAATTCTTACCATCATAGACGACTCATCATCTGAGTTGACAACTATTGGCTGTATACTCTGAGATTGTTCAGCGTCTAATTCATTTCTTGTAGTTAACCACTTGTTTGATCGTCGTGTTGTTACATTACGATATTTATTTTGTTGTTCTTGTTCTTTTTTTTCTTCTTCTTCCCGTTTCAAAGCCTTTACTGCATGCTCTTTAATTCTACTACGGAGTCGATTTTCTTTTTCAAGTTCTTTACCTTCAACAAATAATTTTTTCCACTTTTCAGCCTCTTCTCGTTCTTTATTTTCAATAAATTTAGATTGCTGTAACAATTTACTTGATCTGTTTAATCGATCCGTACATTTTTCGGGTTTTTGAGAATTTGGTACAACATCATCTTCATCATCTGTAATCATCGATTCGATTTCATCGGCGTTTAAATTTTTAGATATTTTTTCTTTTTGTTCATCCATTGAAAACGTGTTTGGTTTACTCGATTGACTATTATTCAATTTAGTTTCCGTAGAGTTTAGTGAGTTCGATGTTTGACTTGGTACAATGATTCTTTTTGAGATATTAAGCTCAGGATATTCAGGGGTTGGGGATTTAGCTGCTCGTTTACGTGGGTTTGTCGACTGATTTTTGGAGTTGATTGAATTTTTTGCAACTGAATGACTTTCTTCTTCTGTACCGGCTTCTTGAAATTGCTTTTTTTTTGTTTTAACAGCACTTCGTTTTCTAACCGGTGGCTGGACAGGTGGTTTTTGGATAGAAGTAGATATTTTTTTACGTTTTTGAAATATCGGTTCAACGTCATCACCACCACCACCATCATCATCATTATTATTGTTGTTTTTACCATCATCGTCGTCATCAAGAATGAAATCATTATAATTTTTCGGTGCTAATCTTGGTCGAAGACCAGTTAGTATAGGTGTTTTTTCCACACTATCTACTTCTAAAATGTCTTGATCTTCATCTGGAGGTAAATATGGTTTTTTATCCAAACTTCCATTAGCTATTTCAACCTAAAAAAATTAAATGACAGATAAAATAATATTGTACATTATAAATAATTTTATTTTGCCTGTTTATTTACTATTTATCAATATTGAAATATTCGAAAGTGCCAGTTTAAATGCACTGATATAATAAGCATTTGAAAACACAAAAATAAATAGTTTATCAATGAGAGAAAAAAAAAAATAAAAAAAGTCTTAATAATTTCTACATCGTATAAAAGTAATGATCTATACTTTGGTAATTAAGTATCTAATAAAAAAAAAACCAGAAATTGATTTTAATTATGTGAAGATCATAAATATGAAACATAAATACTTAGTAATAGTAATAATAGATGATATATCACCCACCTTAATAGGTGACCCCCATTGAATTTCACAACTTTCCGATTTTGTGTTATGATTATGCCACATTATTGCCATTTCATTTAGAGTTTTACATTGCTGATCGAAAATTGCATTGAAATTATGAGAGAGATCACCAACCATAGAAAATTTTTGTCGAGTTGAAGGTAAACACTTGAGTTTCAAAAGTTTATCATTGTCCAGTTTTTTACTGTTTAATAAATTTAAACGATGATTATCTTCTATGCTACAAACATTTTCAAAAGATTTTGATTTCTGAGAATCTGTTGAATCACAAGACTTCAACTCACTGTTAATAAAAGAATCAGCAGCGCAATGAGACGATGACATTTTCTCATCTATTTTAGATTGATGTAAATCTAAATTACTTTCTGTTTTTGGTGATAACTGATGTAAGTTTTTTAGTTGACCACTAATTGGTGATTCCGAATTCAGATCTTCATCTTTTATTTGTTTATTTACATAATTGTCAATTGGTGATGGTGGTGTCTGAAGTGATGTAACAACTTTATCTAAATTCTGAAAAAATTAGTAAAGATTAATTAAAATTAGTTTATAACGATATTTATAACATAAAATAAAATGTTTTCTGAAACTACCGGTTGTGGTGAAAATTCCATAGAGTCCTGCTCAACTGATAGTTTGGAATTATCAACAACTGTTAAAGTGTCTTTCATTTCTGTAAAAGACATTCCTTCTTCGTACATGCCCAATTCTATTTTAAATAATTTATTAGTTAAGTTTGTATATCAAATAGTTAATAGTTAATACATTTATAATTGACTATATACCAGTAAGTTGTTTTTTCATCTCATCTTGATCAGTTTCACAATGATCAATTAAGTTGCTTCTTGATTTATTTTTAATCTAAAAAATCAATAAAAAAAAATTGAAAGTTTTATTATTCAAAAGAGTAAACAGTATGTTTTGCGTAATTTGTAAGTTCAATAATATAAAATTATAATTGTATACTAAGAAAAGAAACATAAATATACGTAATGAAACCATGTAAAATACCTACCCGAGATTCCATACTGACGTATTTTATACATTTGTATTAAAATCTAATTGCTTAATTATCATTTAATATAACAATATTCGGTATTTGAAGTGTACAAAACAACAATGGTTATGTATTTTTTAAGGTTATGGTAACGTTTTATAAAAATAATTTACTATTGGACAATTCACAAATATTTTCAAAATTTGCGACTTCTGATTGGTTATAACGAGCACAATACCGTAAAATGTACATCACGTTTGTTATGTTTTCAAGCAAAAATTGATTTTTTTTTTTGGTAACCCGTAATGATGACTTCAAAAATTTTATTTTTTATATTATATCTCAAATATTTTGACAGAATTAATTAGAATAAAGTTTCCAAAAGAGAATGTACGGCTTACTTTTGTGAAAAATTTTATATTAACTGAATTAAAAAAATTTCCAAAAAGTAATTTAACAAATAAAATTTGTGAAAATAAGTTAATAACGGCCTACTATTAAATATTTATTATCTATATATATATATATGTTTTTTCGTTATTAATAAATTATAAAAAAAATTGAAAATGACTTATTTTCAAAACAAACAATTATTATGAAATTTAAATTTCAAGGATAGTTTCCTGTATTAACGATGATATAAGAGAAAAAAAAAAAACAAAACTTATATATGTATTTTTAAATAGACAAATTTTTCATATATAAATATTCTCTATAGAAATATCTGACATGGAGCTTGTAATGCCTCTAGATGCATCTAGCAGATGACGCTACCAGCAGTGAAGTGCAAATTTAAATGTAATTTAGATTATATTAAATTATTTTATTAATTCATAATTTAAATAGTGAACAATGTTCAAATTAGAAAGTTTAGGTTCTGTATCGTTGAATATTTATTTTATAGAGTATATTTTGTTTCAAATAAATGTAAGCTATTGTCGAGTACAAAGGGACATTGTAGTTGAGTTCTGAGAAACCTTAGGTACTTGAGATTCTGAGGAAAAGCCATAAAAGACACGTGTGAGAAAAATTCTATGATCCCTTGTTTCAACGGCTAAATAATAACGTAACAAATATCTAACAAAGAATAAGATCGTTAAATAACATATTTTTGTTAAACTTGCTTTAATATAATATTGCAACGAAATATATAAAAATTAAAATAACAATTTATATCCTGTATCCAACCTATAAATAATTATTAATTAATGTTAAAAGAATAAGATTTTATAAAATAATATTATTAAATGATATTTATCTCTTACATTAACAATTAAACTATTTCATAGTTTTAATAAATTATAGATTGATAGAAATAGTAATAAGCTTAATCTAATTTGCAAAATACGAATATTAATCAACTGCAATATATATAATTTATAAATAAATGTATGTAAATATAATAGAAAATATTATATATTAGTGTGAAAATCATTTATATGTAGTAGAAATATGTGTACTTATATATGTACAAGAGTGGATATATGTATGGGAGTTATGGTGGGAGAAGAACGGAGTTTGAAGCTCTCCGGAAAAACTACATAACGACACTTCTCATCGAGAGCTTAGATTGCTAAGATCACGTCATTGTAAACCTCAATTTTATATTTTCAAGCTTTTAATATTTTGTCAACTTGAATTATAAATTAAAATCAACTAAATAATTTTGATCAAAATTAAATAACGTCTAAATAGAATTCTTTTATTTAAAATTATTCCTTTCCCGCACTGAAACCGAGTATTTTAATACTCCCGGGCGAAAGAACTACAGTAAGTAAAGTTTTCAATAAATAAAAATAACATCCACTAGATGGAAGCATAACAAGCTATTTACATAGAGATATTTTGTGCACGTTTGTTACTGTGTACGGGAGAAATACTTGTCGCTGACTGTACGCTCGATCACTTTACAAAATGTTGTATATATAGGTTGTATGTATTGTTGTATAGCCCAAAATTGGCTATAGTAATTACTATTTTAATAAATTTAAATTTATTGAGTTCTTTTAATTCGCCCGTTGGAACGCTGTAGGGCATTCAACTCGCAGTAAATAGATTAAGGCGGGAGAGTAGATTTAAATTCAAATAAGTTAAATTAAATAATATACATATTGTTAGGGGGTCATCTGAATGATCCGAACGGAAATGTAGCCAATGTAATAATTGTAAAGAAATTCAAAAAGTAACTTGCTCTCTAACAAGTTATATACATTTAATACTTCATACATAACACTTAATGTATGTCAAATAATAGTAAATTCTATATAATAAAATACACACATTTGAAACATTGAAACATTGAGCACAATGAAACATTACAAAAGAACGACAATTGATCTGTCTTCTAAGTCTTCTAAGTCATAAGTAAGAAATTAGTTGTCGGTAAGGTAAATTTTTTTAGGTAACTGGCGGTGGAGGAAATTTAAATTATATAATCTAAATTCAAACACAACCTTTTTATTCTAAATAAGAATAATTCTTCTTGAAAATATTTATTGTTTTTATTTATTAAAATATATAAATATTGATTACTAAAATAAAACAAAAAATCGCTTATTTAATGGGAAATTATTTATTTTTCTTTATAAAGTAATTTTTTGTTAATTATATAAAATATTAAAATCAAACTGTTTTTTATTTGTTTCAACTTAAACTATTATTTATTTATACACTTTCTCAAAATTTATCAATGTTAAACGAACAAAAACATCTTTTTTTTAATTTTCTAATATTTTTGAACTTACTAAATTATATTCTGATATTCCTATATTTTTTCAACTTTAATCTAAGTTTAAACGAATTATATTTAAATAAATAATTTTATCTTCTTATGTTATTCTAATTACATAGATATAAAAAATAATTGTTTGTTTTATAATATTCACATGACAAGAACGTAATTATTGATAAATGTTAAGAAGGTGTATAAATAAATAATAGTTTAAACTGAAACAAGTTAAAGAACAGTTTGTTTTTAATAGAATTAAAATAGAATTGTTTTATAGAATTAAAAAAAAAAAAAATTACTTTATAAAGAAAAATAAATAATTTCCCATTAAATAAGCGATTTTTTGTTTTATTTTAGTAATCAATATTTAAATATTTTAATAAATAAAAACAATAAATATTTTCAAGAAGAATTATTCTTATTCAGAATATAAAGGTTGTGTTTGAATTTAGATAAATATTAGAAAATTAAAAAAAAAAAGATGTTTTTGTTCGTTTAATATTGATAAATTTTGAGAAAGTGTATAAATAAATAATAGTTTAAGTTGAAACAAATAAAAAACAGTTTGATTTTAATATTTTATATAATTAACAAAAAATTACTTTATAAAGAAAAATAAATAATTTCCCATTAAATAAGCGATTTTTTGTTTTATTTTAGTAATCAATATTTATATATTTTAATAAATAAAAACAATAGATATTTTCAAGAAGAATTATTCTTATTTAGAATAAAAAGGTTGTGTTTGAATTTAGATTATATAATTTAAATTTCCTCCACCGCCAGTTACCTAAAAAAATTTACCTTACCGACAACTAATTTCTTACTTATGACTTAGAAGACTTAGAAGACAGATCAATTGTCGTTCTTTTGTAATGTTTCATGGGTTACAGTTTAATCTTTTTCATAAATATGATATTTAAATGTTTTAATGTGTGTATTTTATTATATAGAATTTACTATTATTTGACATATATTAAGTGTTATGTATGAAGTATTAAATGTATATAACTTGTTAGAGAGCAAGTTACTTTTTGAATTCCTTTACAATTATTAGATTGGCTACATTTCCGTTCGGATCACTCAGATGACCCCATTGTTAGTTGTATAGTCCAAAATTGGCTATAGTAAATTATTGAGTTCTTTTACTCGCCCGTTGGAACGCGGTAAGGCGTCCAACTCGCAGTAAATAGATTAAGGCGGGAGAGTAGATTTAAATTCAAATAAGTTGAATAAAATAGTATATATATAATAAATTTAAAATACTCGGATTATTTTAGTTTAATTTAGATTTGCCTTGCGCGCAAATCTATTATTTATTATTCAATACATTACTAAATAAAAAGTACCGACAATAATTTCGAAAAGGAAAATATTTTCACGTGGCGTATTTAAGTTTTGCTTTTTGATAAGTGTCCTCTTGTTCCTTGGTTTTCGACTCCCCTGGTTGAGATGTTCGTACTTTTGGACTGGGAGAGGCCCAGGTGAGGGTAGTTGCGCGCGCCTCTGCAGCTCTCATCTTCTCATCTTCGTATATTAGTGTGTGAAAATCATTTATATGTAGTTTGATTTAACATAGGAAAAGCATGAAAAATGAGGGCAGCACCATCGTGCACCTGGCCAATACTGTACCTATCTACAACGTGTAATTGAATCAATGGCCGTGTTTATTCCTCATGGCCTCATGGTACGTCAGCCTAGCCGAATGAAAAACGTCGAAAAATTCTGATCTTCCCATATAAATCTACGTCACCTCAGCCACGTTGTTCATGTTTCAAGTGGTTACATATACGTATATTTAGATATATTCCATATGTATATGTATACAAACATCAAAATTTTTAAATTTACTTGACATTCATTAAAAAATTTACCATAGCTTAAAAAATAAAATCTTGTCAAAAACTTTACTTAATATGAATCTAAAAAACGTAAAACTGCAAAATATAATTATTTTTATTAGCGTATTTATTACGTTTAACATCGATTTTATTCAATGTCAAACTCGAATTAAGCCGGTAAGTAAATTAAAACAAATTTTCATCCGTCTTTGTTTTAATAAAATAACACATCACATTCGAAAGATTGTACTGAAGGAGTACTAGAAAAAATATTTTGTTTTTATATTCTGTACTTTCTTCGGTTTTCGAGCCCATATTCATTTCTATTTATTACGATTATAAATTAATTGTTTAATTTTAGAATTTTGAATTGTTCCATATGATTTTCAGGGTCAAAATTCTTTATCCGAGCGTGTACAACAATTAGCAGAAATGGCTATGAAAAAGCCTGTTTTTAAATTTAATGGAGCTAAATTCAAAGAATTTGTAAAAACACCACCGAGGAACTATTCTATTATAGTTATGTTTACAGCTATGGCACCGCAGCGTAAATGTCAAATATGCCAGTAAGAAACAAAAATTATGAAAATTAATTTGACAGATATTTAATAGTTTCAAGAATTTTTTAACAAATAAATTATGGCAAAAAAAATAAAAAAATTAACCTGTAGAAATTTTAATAAATTAAAAATGAAATTTTTTTAAATAATTTTTCAAAACAAATTTGTTTGTTAAAAAAAAAAATTAAAAAATGGTCAAGACTGCTAGCTTTAATGTCATACAAAAATTAATTTTTTCTATTATATTGAATATTAATTATTTTTTATTGCTATCACTCTCTGTCTGACTGGAAAAGTCTTCAAAGATGGAAATTACATGTATAAAATCTATGAGATTATACGTGTGTTTGTTTATATTTTTATATTTACTTTTATAGTTCATAAAACTTTCAAAAATGGTAAAAACAAATAATTTCAGCACTTTTATTTCACTAAATTATTATTTTTCAGGCATGCTCATGAGGAGTTTGTTACAGTGGCTAATTCATTCCGATACTCTCAATTTTATTCAAATAAATTATTTTTTGCGACTGTAGATTTTGATGAAGGATCAGATGTTTTCCAAATGGTAATATCGATGATTTATCTACAATTTATCTATCACACACTATTATAATAATTAATTCTTATATAGATGCGATTGAATACTGCACCTGTATTTATACATTTTCCTGCAAAAGGGAAACCCAAATCAGCCGATACAATGGACATACAAAGAGTCGGATTTAGTGCAGAAGCAATAGCAAAATGGATTTCAGAACGTACCGATATTCAGGTATGTTATAATATATAAATATCATCTGAATTATATTATAAGCTTATTTTTTATATACTGAAATTTGAAAAACAAAAAAAAACCTCGAATTAAATATCCTTTTTTTTTAGATCCGTGTGTTCAGGCCTCCTAATTATTCTGGCACAGTAGCAGTTATAATGTTATTACTTTCAATTGGAGGATTCTTATATTTAAGACGTAATAATTTAGACTTCATTTACAATAAAACCATTTGGAGTTTAGGAGCTATGGTAAGCTAAATACAAATTTTTCAATCAATCAATAATAGTTAATCTAGTAAAAATCACGTAAACTATATATTTCAAAAGTGAAACTTCAATCGCTGATATAATTGATTCAAGTATAAAGTATTTCATTCACTTTTAATTATGGAAAAAAACTTATAAACAACCGTTTAATGCATGAATTAAGGATATTATTTGAAACTTTCCAATCTTCATGTATTTTGAAGAACCCATGACGATTTCAGAAGATTGATTTTTTTTTTCTTAATTCCTCGGGGATTGTTTACTTGATGTTCTTAATAAAATTCAATAAAAGAATATCTTTATTTTTTATTTTCAAAAAGTTATATGTTATTTCTTAACCCACGGAGTACACTGGAGGTCATTTTGACACCAGAATTTTTTTTATTCCAAAATATTTCTCGAAAATAGGTTCGTTTTTAATTAATTTTTTCAACATTAAAACATATATATATATATATATATATATATATATATATATATATATATAATAGTGACTCTATTCAAAAGAGCATTGTTTTACCTACCAAAAATGCAATAACCTGAATTCTAATAAAATGCATAGTTTCTGAGATATGATTCTTCGAAAGTCAAGTGGGGTCAATTTGACCCCATGTGTACTCTAAAGTTCTGTTCGGAGGTGTGTAATCCGAGGGTTAATTGATTGAAAATAATCCTTTCGGATTCACAACACCCTTATACATGTGACACCAGCGTCAAGCGTCAGCATGAAATTGCACCTTAACCCAGCGACACAGCGAGCGTGCTCCTTCTATCTAGGCAGGCTTCGTGATTTTAATACTCACGCCTGAAAAGTGAAAGGTGCGCAGAATAGGTTACGGCACGAAAACGTAACGAGGTCATTCGTTCAGTAGATTTTACCCCTCATATTGCGTGTCTTAAGCGCGAAGCGCGCAGGTATGCTCTACTCTCGCCTAAAAATCGTGATTTCGATTAAAACGTGATTTTCATAATTTAAACGAAAAAAATTATGGATAAAAAGCATATTGAAATAAATAATAGTAACTACAGAACACATTAAAAAAATTTTCTTATCGATTAAATAAGATTTCTCAGAAAAAACTCGTTTTTCTGATGAATTAAATGAAAGAGCGTGGTAATCACGGGAGCTATGGGCTTGACAACACCACAACTTTGTCAAAAATCACTTTCACGATTTAATTTTTTTTTGTTTTATTCCTGAGGAAGTTTATCAAAACCCTTGTGAAAATTGCGTGTCAAAATAATTCCGTTTTGATACAGTTAATTTTTTTCGATTGTCAGTTCGGTGACTTTCTGCGATTTCGGCAGCCATATGTATTATTTTTCATAAACAGAATTGAAATAACTATAAACAAGCAGAAACTATACATACATGCTGGTATAATTACTAACTGTTTTATCATCTGGTAAAATTTTTCTTTAGTTCGACCTACAGAGGGCATAATACTACTCGCGGGAAAATTCAAATTAAAAACGAATAATTTTTGTTATGATCTAAATATTTTATGTATGACATGAGCGCTTAAGACATGCTCATTTTCCAAAATTTTTTTTTTCATACCGGGGGCCTTATATGAAAATCGATTCTTAAGGAGTAAACTCCAAAAAATGTTGACTTTTTGGTAGATTTTACTCAACAAGAAGTCAAAAATTAATAATCATCATATCAACTTAAATTTAATTTAACAAAACATCATCAACAAAAAAAAATGTGTGCCGCTTGGGATATCTTGTGGCTTTGAGCAAATCGTAGATCGATTACCTTTTCTTGTCGATTAATCGAGAAATTTCACAAAGAAGGGTCACTATCGATTGAAAATTTCTTCAATCGATTATTTAAAATCGATTTTACAACGGTACATTTAGACTTTAAACGTCAGCCAAATAAATTTCAATTTATTCTACTTTTTATCACTGATGTAAATTTTATCAGACACTTATTGAAATATATTTATTTTTACTGGCTTTATCGTGAAGTTTATGATGCGCAATTTTTATTTGGTGATAGATGAGGTTAACTATTAAATAATTAATGTAGTAAATATATATAATGGCAAGTTACAGGATAAAAGTTTTGTCGTAAAAAAAAATAAAAAAAACCTTAGTTGTGTTGAAACTTAGAAAGGTAAATATTAAATTATTTCTAAGATATAACTTCAATATAATAAAATTATCATTGCGTCTCACTCTATAAAAAAATGCCAATTATAATCTGGATCATTTTAAATGTTTTTCCTTCGTTCCATTTTTTTTGGTTCCTTCGGTTTTTCAATGTTTTTGTAATCGTCTATGTATTTATTAATTAAGAGGAGGATCTATGTTAATTGAGATTTTTGGGAATTTCCAATCTCTTCAGTTACACTCATAACAAACTCTGCAAGCGTAGTAAAATAGTCTGGTATCTTTAAAATAATTTAATTTTTTATATAAAATTGGAGTAACGATATTGAAAGAACTAACATTCATGGAGATAAAACTTTCACCTGCCTAAAATGTGGAACGAATATTATGAATTCTTATTATAAATGTAGCGAATAAATTTGGGGTGTCATAAAAATGAAAACTTTTTCAGGTTATGGACTTTGTTTTGATTTTTTTTAGTATATACATACGTATATGTAAATATGCCTACTGATAAATGCACAGGCCTGGTAGTTAGCTGTCGCGAAATGCGGGAAAAAACATAAAATTACTAAGTAGTAATAATTTTTTATAATTTTGACACTTGATAATTTTTCTAATAGTTTTTTGCAAACATAAATAATTGTAACAAAAATAAATTAAATTATTTTTAAAGATAAATGCCCGAAAATTCAAAAATATGACGAAATTAACAATTGTTAAAAGCGAATAATTCTTTAATTACATTCATAATCAAGCTCCAGAAATTGATTCAAATTATCATATATATAAAAAAATCATAAAAAATTTGTAGACTACGATGTTTTTAACCATTTCGTAATAAAGGGTGGAAATTTTAATTTTTTTAAACATTCATTTCTCCAAAATTTGGAGCTTTCACAAATTTTTTTGCCCATGAAAGTTTCGCCTCATTTTAAAGAATTTCCAAGATAAAAAAAAATTTTTTTTCTAAATTTGAAATGAAAAATTATTTTTGTAGTAATTGTTCAGTACTGTGGTCACCTGATTTTTAGATGTAAAAAAATGGAGAAATTGAGTTGTTGATAAATTTTTGTTTTGTTTTATCCTTCGATCATCACAGAAATTTCAAGATCTTTTGATGACCCTGATTTAAAAAAAGTATTGAACCATGCAACTGTATATCTATATTGTATGTATATATAGATATACAGCTTGTGAAAAGTATTGAAAAAGTATTGAATTACATACTTTTTCAATACTTTTCAATACTTTTTTTTAATCAGGGGAAGTATTACAAAATTTTACGTTTCTGTGAAAAAATTAAAAAACTTTTCTGTTTCGACGTTTTTAAAAAGAAGCACAAAAATTCTAATCAATGTATATAAAATTAAAATACTTCAATCATTTCTTCATCAATACCTAATTATATAATTTTAAATAATTTCCTTTTTTTCATTTTGTATGTAGATGGATTGGAATCTAATTAAACTAATATTTCTGTGCTTTGCTGTTCTTATTGGAATAAGTAGTTTTTTACTTCATTGTTATGAGAAATATTTACCCATATTCATAAAGAAGTCTATTCGTCACGGAAAATATGCTGAGAAAACCCGTCATAACATTGCGGAAAAATTTGAAGTTCCTAAAAGGTAATTTTTCAATACAAATAAGCATGAAAAGTTGATCGTTTGAGTCATCAAATCATTTATTTTAATTTCTTTAATTCTCGAAGTTTCTTTTACTTTGCTATAAATTGCTGTAAGCAAGATCTTCAGATTCTAACGAAGCTTCATATGTTTTATTACTTTGTCTTTATGAATTAGGTACATTATATAATGCACCATTATTATTTTCAGATTTTTTTTACATTTTTATGTATTTGCAGCCCCACTATCAATTACTGCATTAGTTTTATGCGTACATAAATATTTTTTTTCTGGAAATCTACCGGAAGCAGTATATGAAGTTTTGGATTTACTACTTAACAGCACTAGAAAATCACTGGGTATATTAAAATTATTCTCATGGTTCTACAATTATAATTTACATCGTACGTGGAGAGATGGATCAATCAAGCCAAATTTGTTTAAAAATAGTTTTTTAACGGAATTAAAAAAAAGCATATGAGCTAAGGAGTTACTTAAAAAATTAATTTGTTGAAATTTTTGAATTACGGTATCTCTTGAGTAAATTCACCGATTTTGATGAGTTTGTCAGCATTTGACGCAGTTTCCCAAGTACAAAGATCCGGTTGAATGTAGATAAGCGATCCGATAAAAAAAAAAAATTCATGAGCTATTATATGTATAAAAATATTTTTTCAAGTTTCTTAAGAATTTTGAATGAATTAACTTATGTCGATAGTTCTAAATTTTATGAATTTTTATTTATGTAGATTAAAATTAGAATTTTTTATCACAGACTTTTATTATTATCCAAAGATAAACTACAACAATTATTTTCAAATCTTTATTCAGAATTTTAAAAAATAATTATTTCAAGCATTTGAATAATTTTATCTACAGAAACACAAACAGGTTGATTCTTCGAGTAACTTTTTACTTTGAGAATAATGAACTAAATGTAACTTCAAAAACGTATACTATTATTTTATTAAAAATATTATCTAACTTTCTTATTATTGATAGTTACACCATTGGACACGATGATTGCAATTACTTTGATAACAGTTCAATGTTGTAAAAGATTGTATGAAGCTTGCTATGTCAGCGTTTATAGCGAAGCAAAAATGAGCGTAAGTCTTTACATTGTTGGATTTATTCACTATTTTGGAACAATAACATGCATAATTGGGGAATCCTATGGATTTATAAAAGGTAAATTGTAATTTATTTATCGAAAAAAATTTCTAAACTTGATGAGATAAGAGTAAAATTTTAAGGACAATAGAGTGTAAAGTTTGTATTGTAACAACTTACGTGTAACTTTTTTAATCAAAAGATAATGATAAATAAATATTCATCCAGAGAGAATAAAATAAAAAAGTAGATTATGTTGATGTTGGAGTTTGTTTTGATCCTTCGAAATTAAAGATTTAAAAGACTTTTTTTTTTCATTCTGATTCTGTATTTTAAACGATTTGTAGTAAATAGCACCCAAAATTATTTTTCATGCACCTTTGATACAAAACTTTATCTAAAATGGTGTCATTTGCTCTTTTAACTTTAGAAATATAATCTATTACGAACACAATTATTTTTATATTTTAATATATGCTAATACATATCCTTTTTGTTTAGGTTCTGAATATCCATTTCATTGGAATGAATTGAATAGTATACATATTATTTTTTCGATCTGTTTTCTTTTGGCATCTTATGAACAATTGAGAACTAATTTTATTCTAGCAAGCTTACGCAAAAATAAAAAAGGAGAGGTTGTTACAAAATCGTATAAAATTCCAAGTGGTAGGCTTTTTGAATACGTAACAGCTCCTCTTCAGCTCACAGAAATCATTATGTATTCCTCATTAAATATAATTCTTCGGCAGAGTTCATCATTCTGCTACATATTTATTTGGGTTCTCGCTAATCAGGTAAATCAAATAATACTTCTCCTAATCTGATCACTGTTTCCAAAATTGTTCGAGCAATTGTTCATTTCAATGTGAATTTGTATGACTGAGTATGGCTTTGTATACTCAGGTTAATCTATGCTTTGCCAAACCTGATCATGCATGACCATATATATTTTTGTAAAAAAGTTATCCGTGACATTCCATGATCATACATAAGCGACGTTTTTCGGATAAAGTTAAGCACAAGGTTCATGCAAATAAGTCATATTTAGTCATGTGTGGCTGGAAAAAAATAGTTTTGTGTTCACGAGTGAATGAGTATAACTTTGCATGGAATTTTTAATGTCACGTTTTCAAAATGAATCAAAGAATATAAAATAATTTTTTTAACTTTATAAAATCATGAACCCTGTACAAGTATTTAACTTTACAAATTGTCCCGAAAATTTTTTACTGTAAATTTTCAATAACTATTAATATACTAATAAGATTAAAAGCGAAAAATGTTGACACCAAAAAAATTAAGTTTTGCAATATTGTAAAAAGAATTAAAAATTTGTTTTTCTCTTACAGATTGAAACTGCTCTTTCAAGTCATCTGTGGTACAAGAAAACTTTTAAAAATTATCCTAATTGCCGTAAAGTATTAGTTCCTTTTCTACTTTAAAAAATGGAATATTCATTATTGTATAATTAAAAAATAAAAATTTTTATATCATGATTCTGATACATTTAATATTTTTTTTGGTAATATATTAAATCAATGATATATTCAATTTTCAGTAGTTGTGCGTTTTACATTGTTCAGGTGTCATTCAATCTATGTTGTATTGGTGATGGTCATATTATCAGTTCTGTAATTGTAAATATTCTTTCATATTTTTTTGTAGCTGTCAGCAGAATTTTCCTGGGTAAGTTAACTCCTAACATTCTCACCTTGATTCCTTTATAAATTTATCAGAGGTCCTAAAAAATTAGGTGTTTAATAATTATGATGATCTTTTCTTGCGGATATAGTTCACTTTCATCCTACATGTACTGAGTACAGTCATATATTGAATTTTAAAAGGAGGTGAAACTCGAAAATTTTTATCTCTTTCGTCATTGTCAAGTCTGTCAATCGAAAACCGAATTCCCTTAGATTTCCATGTTGTAGAGATTATAAATTTAATACAATTGAACAATCTTTTCTGATTTCTGTCACCTGTTATTATTGATCTATGATAAGCAGATATGAAAATTTCATTAAATTGATCAATACATGCACAAATAATAAAAGCTTCAATAAAATAATACATTGGATATGAATAATATTTAAGTGGGTGCATCGCATGTATGGTTAATATTGAATAAGGTTAGTAATAATTTCATTCTATATTAAATGTTTACAAACCCGAGTAAAAAAGATTTATAATTAGATACAATTATGTATAAATTATACATAATTATATAAAAAAATGGCCCGATAAAATTGGATAGAAATGGTATATAATTGTATAAAATTGTATATAATTGTATAAAATTATATATAATTGTATAAAATTATATAGAATTATATATAATTATTCCCTTAGAAATAAAAATATCTGCCGTGGGCAGGGATTTTTTTTTTTGTTTAAAGTTTATTTATTATTGATAACAATCTTACATTCTTTTTTTTTTAAGTCTAAATAAACTAAATAAAAAAACTTCTTAATCTAATTTTTATTTTTAGTGAAAATGGCTGGTGTTATCAGCACTCGTTTCCTGAGAGATTCTTTTTTTTTTTTTTTGAAATTTTGGTCTTTGTTTATTAATAAGATCTAAAGTTTTTGTTGATCTATCAGTCGCTTTTTGATGAGCAGTGTGGGAAAAAAAATTTTATATAAAAATAAAAACCAGAGCTTAAATCATAAAATTTTTTAGCTTATGACTAACTTAAGACTAGATTTATATACATATTTACATTTTTACAGGTGCAAGAGCACTATTATAAAGCGAGTTATAATATTATATCTGTAGATTATTTAGTTAATTAAAATCTATAGAGTAATAGTTTTAATTATTTATTGAATTATTTATATATTTAGTGTCCCTTTTCTTCTTTGGAGTTCTTTTATATGTGGTGGAGTTCTTGTCAGTCCACCAGTATTTCTCTGCATCTAGTCTGTGAAAGTCAGTTTGGTCACTTCTGGGCAGTGCTGTTGAGTATTTATTAGGCTTATTTTTGAAATTCCTTAAATCGAGCGCCTTGTTGCTTTTTAACATAACATAACCGATGAATTGTTCTTATTACGGGATCGCGGGAATGTAACAAATTAAAATAAATACATTTTCTAAACACTTGAGATATGGAAAAGAAATTTGGCTACTCATTTGAAGAGATTTCGTAAAATCAAAACTTAAAATCGTAAATCCAAAAGTTATTATTTATTTTTGGAGAAAGCCACGGAATGTTATAGTGATTGCACATTGAAAGTTACAATGGATATTCGCTAGAATGATGACATGGATAAAAGGTACAGGCCAATCCGATAGAATTTGGAATCTGTGCAAGTCAAAACAATACTCCAATTGAATTTCAAGTCTAGATCTCAAAATACAATTCTATAAAGTGTCCAGCGAAGCGGGTGAGTAACAGCTAGTTGTATATAATTGTATAAAATTATATAAAGTTGTAAAGGCGAATCACATAAAATTTTATATAATTTTATGCAATTGTGTCTAATTAAATATAATTCTATACAATTGTATATAATTTTATATAATTGTATAAAATTTAATAAAGTTGTAAAGGCAAATCACATAAAATTTTACATAATTTTATGCAATTGTGTCTAATTAGATACAAATTTTTACAATTGTATCTAATTATATAAAATCTTTTTTACTCGGGAAATTAATCATCAAATCAATAATGTTTCTAATTAAAAAATTACATAGATTTATTTGATTCGATTATCTGTACAGTAAAAATTTTTAACTTCCCGCTAAAAATCTCAGATTTTCAAAAATCGGGAAGTTATTGTTTTCACCCCGTTTTACAAAAATCGAGTTTTCATCAGATCTCGACGTTTGAAGGTCACAGGAAGCTTCCCTGACTATTTTTACGATGATGTCCGTACGTC